TAAGAAAATCCGATGTAGTGTAACGGCTAGCACGGTCCGCTTTCACCGGGCAAACCGGGGTTCGACTCCCCGCATCGGAAATTACTTTTTTTTGGTAAAACTTTTGGTGTATATATCCTCCAAAACAACATTATTTAATCACTTGAATTGCGTTAATATGTGATCAATTTTTTTATTACTATTTTATGGATACCTTCAAGCGATAATATTGTTTTAAAGTTTATACCATATCAAGTTCACCGGCGCTTAAATTTCCATATTTAGAAGTACCCCCGACGAGAAAACAAATGTACTGATAAACATTATAAAATTTTTCTTCTTGAAGTTGAAGCTTCATCATTCGACATGAGTTATTATATAAAGATTGTCACATCTAGCTGCAAATTGGTTGAGCTCCAGAGGTATCTTAAGCAATAATAGGAAGGAGCCAATTTATTCTTCTTTGTTAATAGTTATTCACCGACATGGTTTCTATTGGTGAGCATATCGGGTTATACACTGTTTTAAATGCACCAAGAGATATTCACATCATTTTGATCGCTAGATGTACAAGACTTGCAGCCTTTGGTGCAATAAGTTTGATTTTGGTTCAGTTTCTGAAAACAAAAGGCATCAATGAAACTCAAATAGGATTTCTTTTAACATTAACATTAGTTGGTGATTTATTTTTTTCATTTATTTTAGCATTGATTTCAGATACTTTAGGAAGAAGAAAAGTTTTGCTCTTATCATCAATTTTAATTTCATTAACAGGTGCTCTATTGCTATATTTTGAAAACCTTCTCATAATTTCAGTGATCCTGATATTGGGTATCGTTACACCATCAGGTAATGAAGTTGGACCTTTCAGGTCTATAGAACAATCTGCAATTTCAAGTCTAACAAAATATGAGCATAGATCTGACATCTTTTCATGGTATACTTTCACTGGTGGTATAGCCGCTGGACTTGGATCATTTATTGTTGGAAAATTGGTCAATGAGAACAACTATAATGCTTGCTTTCTGTTTTATAGCATTATTGGACTGTTACTAGTTGGTCTCAATTTTTTGTTATCTGAGCATATTGAATTAAAGAATGATATTTCGTTGAAAGAGGCTCGTGATAATGAATCAAGCTCTGAAAGTGAACCTTTGATCCCAGAAACTGCAAGTGATGAATTACAAGTGCAATACAACAATACAGATGTTCAACAAGAACGCCAAAGATCAGTATTCTCAAGACTCCTTCCTTCTGTTTCTACTAAATCTTTGGAGACTGTTCTCACTCTGACAGTATTGATTTCTTTAGACTCATTAGGTTTAGCCCTTAGTACAAAATCATGGACATCCTATTATTTCAAAGTCAAATATAATCTTTCATCTTCAACATTAGGTCTAGTTTTTGGAACAGCAAGTATTGGTGGTGCGTTAATGGCTCTTGTTGGTACATATTTTTGCAAAAAGTTTGGTCCAATCAAAACAATGGTGTCTTTCCACTCAGTCTCCTCCATACTATTATCTGCAATGTCTCTTCCTTTGAGATTACATGAAATGGTTACACTATTTATAATCAGAGGCCTTATAAGGACTGTTGATTTACCATCAAAGCATGTCTTTATTTCAGCTGTCGTCGAGCCATCAGAAAGAACAGCTGCCATTGGGTTTATAAATGCAACGAAAACTTTGGTGAACACAATGGGTCCTACAATCAGTGGATATATGGCGTCTCAAGATAAGATGTGGTTGTGTTTCTTAATTGCTGGTGCTTTAAGACTTTCGTATGATTTTGGACTTATAGTAAAATTTTGGAATTTTAAAGCATGAAAAAGTAATCAATCAGAGAATTAATAAACAAGTTTTGATAGAGTTTAAATGTAAATATCAGACCTAAAGTAGATGAAAAACGCATTAAAATTGCAAAAATTGGTTATCACTCCAGTGCCCAAACCACGAATCTAATTACGCGTAACCAAGACAACAACAATAATTTTTGATAAATAGACCGCGCTGAATTTGTAAACAAAAAAAACATACAAGATTTGTCTTCAGATCTTATATATTGTTGAGGAAGAAAGCCATAGACCAAACGCTGAAAACAAAGATTTCTGACGATACAATGTCCAGATGTACAGGCGATGAGCTATACAATGTTGTCAGCAGAGAAAGTTCTAGTAAGTTCAATAGCGGGCCCTTAAAATTTGATTATAATTACTAACAATATTGTTTCCCTAGGTATCGATGAAAAAACTAAACTGATTGCTGAATTTAAGGCTCACATAAAACGTGATTTCGTTGATTTAAATGATCTTTCCAAATATTTCGGGGCTCTTAAGATAGCTTCCAAGTCTGGAGATGCCAGATTAGCGTCAGTTGCATTTTCTACAATTTGTCATCTAGTGAAAAGGGTGAGCATGCAAGATTCACAAAAATTGAAAGATACGTCTAAAATTACGTTACCTATATTATTCAATAAATTACTAGATCAAACTTCAAGTCACAGATCACAAGCTAAGAATTGTCTTGAAACATTTTGGCTGGCTTCCCCAGATGTAGTTGAACATTATTTGAAAGATTCTGCATTAATTCATTCAAACCAACATATTAGATCAGAATCAATTATATTTATTTCAGACCTCATAGACCTTAATAATAACTTCAGCTTTTCTCAGTTCCTACCCAGCTTGGTTAACCTTTTACGTGATGATTCTGCAGAAGTTTTCAAAAATACAGAGGTGTTATTTATCAAGTACTTTATATTGAACAGATCAAAATTGAACTCACTAGTAAAAGAATTTAAAACACAAAGTATTGACAAGAGAACTGCAATAAAGATACTCAAAGAGATTGATATAACAGTTGCTAATTCATATTCATTAGAACAACAGAACAATTCAAGACCAACAATCGATTCTTTCAATAATCTGACAAAATCAAGATCTTCAAAGCTTAATGAGAACCAAAGAAAAATTAAAACTAAAAGCTTCAACTCATCAGGTGAATTATCATCTATACTTGGTAAGATTAATACTACGAAGCTTGATGAAAATATTCAAGCCAAGGTTTTCAATTCACTTCAGGAACTACATCGAGAAACAGAAGCACTTCTGAGTCCATTTGCAGGCAAGGAAACAGAGTTCAATTGGGGATCAAGGGAGAAAAATATACTCAAATTTAGAAGCATAGTTATTGGAAATGCAGACTCATTTCCGGATGATTTAGTTCAAGCTACAAGGTTATTCACAGAAGGTATTTCAAAATCAATAACATCTCTTAGAACTACATTATCATCTAATGGTTGTCAATTGGTAAAAGAATTAGCTGCTTATTTGAATAGGAATATAGACCATATTGCTGAGAGTTTGTTTATGCCTTTGGCTTCGTTAACCTCAGCTACCAAAAGAATTGCATCAATGAACGCTTATGGTGCTCTTTGTGTGCTTTTAACAAACACCAGTTTCAATAATAGGCTTTTCAACCAGTGTTTTAATTTATTTCAAGATAAAAGTGTTCAACCTAGATTATATTCAGCAACATTTTTACAGATCTTTATATTGAAACATGGTACCAAACTTGATGAACAAAATTTTGAAACGCTGAAGAAATGGCTAGGAAAGGGTGTTTCAGATCCTAATATAACGGTTAGGGAGTCAATGAGATTAACTTTTTGGACTTTGCACAGAAGGTTCCCAGCTATAAGTGAACATATCTTTACAAAACTGGATTCCAGTATAAAAAAGGCACTTGAAAGATCAAAACCAAGTGATGTTACATTTTCATTATCGTCAAATCCTAGCAGGGTACCAAGTATAACAGGTGACAGAAAGAGACACTCTGTAAGAGAATTTGTTGCTTCCAAACAACGTGAAAGAAGATCTACGTCTGACACGTCTTCTTTAGCTTCGAAATTCAAGGATTCCAGTGAAAACCATCAAGAAAACTTGGTCCAAACTGGCGAACTTGGGAGAGCTTCAAGACTCGGAGGGCCTCAGAGAATACGTGTATCAAGTGCTGGTAGCTCTCATGGTGCTAATTCAAATCTTCTTCCAAGACAACTCTCGAAAGGATCCAAATCAATGGCTGGACATTCAAACAGTGACGAACAATCGCTTGGTGTTTCGACCACTAGTACTAAACCTGAAGATGATGCTCAATTGGAACACTTGAAGACTGCACTAAAGTCCCCACTTACCAGAGAGCGTGTGGAAGGAATCCAGCTATTGGAGGAGCTGCTTAAATCTAACAAAAAAGTCGAAGGATTATCACCAATTTTGATTAATTTGATCATTCTTGACAGTTCTTTATTAAAACCTCTTCTAAAAGAAGCAAATTTTTACGATCTATTAGATATAGATAACATTTTAAAGCTATTAGCGGTCAACAAAGAAAATTTGTCAATATTACAAAAAAAATTTGAAGGGGTTCAAATCACAAATGGTCTATGCTCTGTGATCAACTCTTTGATGTCAATGAATTTTGATTCAGCTCCTGCTAAAATGTTTCACATCAAATATAAAAGAACTATTTTGGATTTTTCGGTACTGAACTTATACAATATCATGTCTCAAGATGCATTCAAGGAAATAGATGAAGTTATGAACAACGTTTGTCGCTCGATTATACCACTATCAATTGATGATTATCCAAGATTTGATGAATTGATCAACTTATTATTCGAACATAACTCACTGTCATTCGGTTCAATTCTTGAAGATTTTGCTGCTTACGAGAGATCAAAAATTCATAGTATAATTGATGATTTTAAGGTTAATAAAGAGGACAACCGTGAGGCTACAGAATATGCATTTGGTGAAATGACTATGATAAATCCATTGAACAGGAAGCCAAACGATCCAACAACCTCGATAAGACCTGGATTCGGGACAGACATGACAATGATCCTTCCTGGATTCAAAAGCAAAAATCCACAGAAAGATAACCGTGAGTTTAATGGTTTGGAACATGGCCAGAGAAAGGTTGATTATATGGGTGATATTTTCCACAGATACAACAGTAATAATAGTACTAGGGAGAGTACAGTTGAACCAGATGCTAAAGAAGAGTTCCATGATGAAGATGTCGAAATGGTACACAATGAAGAACAAACAGAGGTAACTACAGATAAAGCTATAAATATCCAATCTGTTGATGGCCAAAATAACGAAGAAGAACTCAATCATGAAGAAGACGAAGATGGTGATATTGATATTAAGTCTGAAGCTCATATTGGTAGCCCCTTTTTAGATGATCCACACCAAGATGACGCGCTGAAACTGAACTCTTTTGCTCAACAGAATATCATGTCAGATGAGAACTTACAACCAGATATTTATAGTGACGAAATCACAAAGAATATAACTAGTCAAATAAAAGGAATTCATATATCACCCCAAAAACAGGCCAATGTGCCAATTGATCAATCAGCTTCCGAACTGTTTGCAATCACTGATCCTATTTTCAAAAAGACACCAGCTAAAATAAAGATTTTTGAAGATAAAGCCCCACAGACACATCAAGACGTCAAACTTACTGAACTGGAATTATCTCGTTTTGATTTTAGAAAAGAAAAACATTCTAATGGAGATGATGAAAAATCATTATCTGATTCGATTGTTAATTCCATTGAAAAATTTGAAAATGACAACGTTTCTACACAGGATATGGACAGATTGATTCAAGATCTTCACCTGTCACTCAACGAAGCCAATGTATTATCATGGTTTGAACAAGATGGTTACAAGAGATTAGTGGTTGCTATTATATCATATTTCAACACAAGTAAAAACATAACAAAATCACTGTGTTTCAAAGGATTAGTAATTATCAAAGAAATTTTGGCTTTGAATAGTATGTTTAAAGCTTTGAAAGTGAAGGATGCTCTTTCAATCTGGAATATATTGGTGATGATTGTGGAAAACTTGAAAGATTTTAGAAATGAAATTTATATTGCTTCAGATGAACTGGTTGATGAATTGATAGATCAATCAATCACAAACATCAGATCTTCAGTTAGAAATAGTTGTCATAAACTTTTGAAACAAGAAACAATTGAAAATATCCCATTAGCATCGTTCCTTTTAACCACAGTTGTTAAATGTATGGAACATGAAACATTGTCTTTGGAGCAAATTAATGAAATAGGTGATGTTGTTCACAAATATTTGACTAATGAAGAAGTTGAGATTAGAAGATTATCAATAATTGTCTATTCTAAATGCAAGAACAAATTACAAATTATAAATCCAAATCTAAATCAACAAAATGTTAATGGTAAATTGAAAGCTGAAAATGAACAAAACAGTAAAATCAATACTAATGAAATGTTTGATAAATTGAGTGCTTCACAGAAGAAGTTGATTGATTATTATTCAAACATATAATGATGGTTCAATACTCAAAGAAAGAAATGATTGTTTTATTACTCGCCAATTAATTTCACGAGATAAATGTCTACGTATATATTTAATTTAATGTTTAAAGAAATAAATTTGTATTAATAAAATATTAAAATATTGTAGTTGTCCATATTAAGAAAATTGTTAAAAAGTTAATACCAAAGAAAAATTGTTAGCAGCTAAATACCCAAAGAAACACACCAATTGTTTAATCATAAATTATCATCAAACCACCAATATATTAAAATTAGATTATATTATAACCAACTAACAAAACCTTTCAAATGTTGAGACGAGCTTAAGCAATGACACATTCACCGAAAAGCATACCATTTTTGTAGAAGTTATCTTGGTTTTCTTGTTTGTCTTTTGGAGCAGCTGAAGCAGTTGAAGCAGTGAATGATGGTTGCATTTTTGATTGATTAGTTTGAATTATAAGCGAATGACTTAGTGTTGATGATTAAAACATAACTGAAATATTGATGAATTAATGGATAATTCAACTCACATTTATATTTTAATTTTGAGGCAATATGATCAGTTGTTATTGTATGAGTTGAAACATATATGTATGATGTTTGACTATTTAGTTTACTTTTGAAATTTAAATTTCTATTCATTGTAAAATGAATCAGATCTGTAATTTCCTAATCGGGATGACACAAAGGCATCTCAAAAATAAAAAAGTGTAACCGAAAACTTGAATCAATTGAAAATTCTTAATAACATACATAATTTAGCATTGTTTCAAAAACAATTCCTTTAAAATTACCGTTTTTTGAACATTGAACCTTGATTGAAAGATGATCCTGGTCTGATACCACCACTTGTTTGACCTCTTAACCCCATCAGTGAAGTTCCTTTTCCTATTTTCATATGAGCTGATAACCTTTGAGCAAGTTGTGAAGTTGAGGCTCTATTTTTTGTGACTCTAGCACCAGTCAATTTACCTGATGAAGAAAGTCCATGTGAAACTGGTTGTTGTTGTTGTTGTTGTTGTTGTTGAGGATAATTACGTTGATTGTTTCCTGCAGTAAAATTTGTTGATACTGGTTGTAAAAAAGGCTCGGGGGTTCTAGAACTATCTGATGATTTATATGAGCCATTAGACATGATTTGATGACTTGAATGTGAAGTTGGAGTACTTATTCCATGTGAACCCATTGAATTTGGGTTATAAGCATATTTACTTATTGGCGAGTGCCCCAATATGTTTGTTGATTCTGCCATTTTACCTTTTGTTAAGTCAAACGTACGGTTATTTTGATTTTGATGTGATTCGTAATTAGATTGGGTGTTTTGTCTTGAACTACCACTTGGTAATGATCTTTGAGTTGAGCTTTGTTTTATTTGATTCACAAATGACCTTGTTACAACATTTCTCTGATCCATTCCAGGTAAACGATCTATTGAATCATTTGCTGTTAAATCTATGGTTTCAGGTCTGGGTGATTCTCTTGTAGATCTATTAAGAGATGTGGATTTGAGCATATGATTTTCCCTTTCTAACTGTTTGATTTTACTTTTGGTGCTGATGTTAGTATACTGGTGATATTCATAAGAAAAATTGATATATGACATACTTTTCCATTTCATCAACTTGACCTACTTTCTCTTTTGCCAAAAGAAGTAAGCTTTTCTGTTTATTGATCTTTTGAACCAATCTATCAACCAAATTAGATTGACTATTGATTTTCTCCACAAGAGCACAATATTGGAAATGAGAAGCGGCAAACATTTGTTCTATTTGAGTTGGAAATGGTGTAAAAAATTGTTGAACTTCTCCAGGTAATCTTCCATCAATTTTAGCCAAAGAAACATAATCATGATTACAAACAGGACATCGTATCTTGAGGTTTTCTATATTGCGATATGAATCATCTTTGAATGGGTTAGTATCTTGATGATTTGGAGATCTGGTTAAGAATAAATTCAAAATTGGTTTCTTGAGTTACCTTTCAAAGCATGCTCACGACAAACAATATGAGCACAAGAAGTCAAATATAATACCTTTTTCTGTTGATCTGGTGGATTAGCATGGCATAAGCTGCAAGATACAAAGGGCAGAGAAAGATCCATGACTTATTCTAACACAGCGGCTTGTATTTATTGTTGATGCTCATTGTTTTGGTATGAAGTCAAAATGATTTTTGTCGAAGTTTTCATTTTTTTTAATTAGCCGCTGAATATGTCAAAGTTGAATGAACCATTAATGATTGAGATTCAAAGAAATGAGATGGAAAAGAAAGCATGTATATCAATTTCAGTACTACTATTAATTAGTTAAAAGATGTATCTTATACTGAAAACACCATTGGGAAACAATGAGCCAATCTTCTTCTAGTTACATTGGTCATGGGTTTACTGATCTCAGGAAACAATAGCTGGTTGCACTTTCCAATATTCCATACTTGAAACAGTAGTATCCATTGAATTATTATACAATTTAACCACTGGGAACTAATCAAGATTATCAGTATAATGAGTAAGCTGAGTAGATAATATAATATTGAGATCAGTATATACTATAGTATAACTTAAATCCACCAGTCTAGTATCTAGTATCACCCAAAATAGATCTATATGTGAGTATAGTCTATCATATTATATATATATATTTGGAATTCAATATTTCAAAACAAATTCTAATTAGGCGGCTAATATTTCTTTTTTGATTTTGTCCTGTCTTGTAATGCCATTAGAGCCTGACTTAAATATAAAGGGTTAATATATACCATATTGTTAATCCTTAATTATGGTAAGCAACATAAAAACACTACAGAACAACAAAAATAATTGTTAATAAGCTGTTACTGTGCAAAATATAAAATTAAGCCTTTAGAAATCGATTACACTCTTCAAAATTTTAATAAACCCTTTAATCGAGGCATAAATCTAGTTTGTAAATTTATTCGATTCTAGTTTGTAAATCCAATTCTAGTTTGTATTTACACTAACAAAATTCCGCGAAAAATGCCAGTTTTTAAAAGGTAGTTTTTAAGAGCTCTGCTAACAAAAATTATAGCTGAAGTAAATGAATTTCTGATATAACTCGATAAAAACTCATTTTTAAGTGTAAGTGTACTGATAAAATTTGGATCAAAAATCCAGAAAGAGTTGGGAAAGACATTTGAAAATACCCATCCATCTGCTGAAACTTTCATCCAACTTTAAGGGGCCAGTGTCAAAAGTGGTCGCAATCCCATACAAAAAAAATCTTCCACCTACAAAAAACTCCAATCAACTTCTCTCCCACGCTTTCCAACAATAAGAGAAAGAAAGAATTATATACAATTGAATATTGCTTTAATTGTAGAGCCTAGTTAACCTTAATCAAAGCCCCAGTGGATCATACGTACATAGGCTTAATTCAGAGGACTTATCTAAAACTTGGGGGTACCTTCAGTTTACACCCGGCTGAATCACAGCGTTGCAGCGTTGCAGCGTTGCAGCGTTGCAGCGTAGATAGATAATTAGGCAGATTTTAACACCCACTAATCAACATGGAAATCAAAATGGGAACAAATTACACTCGCTTAACTCGCTGATGTTTCTCACTGGGGAGCATCGTCAAATTGGTGGACTCCGTGTAGGACAGTGGACTCTTCTAAGTTCTCCAGAAGGATGATTTATATGATACATATGATACATATAGACTCTAGAGTCTAGACAGTTAGACGGACAGGCATCTATACAGACAGAAAGAGATATAGACAGAGATCTAAGCAGAGATCTAAACTAACTTAAAGAGGCTTTCACCCAGTGGGGTCACGAAATACTAGGCTTACCGGCTGACCCTAGGCTGACTCTCTTAAAAAACTGGAACAAAATGAGTCAAAAAATCCTGTATCGCTCTAGTCATTTCCGACAATGGAAAACAACAGGAAAAAAAATCAGTTGGTGATGGATGATGAATCTTGATTTAAATTCAACAACATCTGTCAAAACTATTTTTCAATTACAATTGAATTGAGTTGAATACAACGGAACCAAAATTAATAAAATGCTTCGTTTCGCTACCTTAAGATCTTCTTTAAGATCCCCAGTCTTAAACAATGTTACTGCTTATCGTCAATTCTCACAATCTGCTTTAAATTTGGATAAAATTAAAGTTAAGACTCCAATTGTTGAATTAGATGGTGATGAAATGACCAGAATCATCTGGTCAAAAATTAAAGATAGATTAATTTTACCTTATGTTGATGTTGATCTTAAATATTATGATTTAGGTATCCAAGCAAGAGATGAAACAAATGATCAAATTACAATTGATTCTGCTAATGCTATCAAAAAATATGGTGTTGGTATTAAATGTGCTACTATTACACCAGATGAAGGTCGTGTTGAAGAATTTAATTTGAAAAAAATGTGGAGATCACCAAATGGTACAATTAGAAATATCTTGGGTGGTACTGTTTTCAGAGAACCAATTGTTATCCCAAGAATCCCAAGATTAGTACCAGGTTGGGAAAAACCAATCATTATTGGTAGACATGCTCATGGTGATCAATATAAAGCCACTGATCTTGTTGTTCCAGGTGCTGGTAAATTGGAATTAGTTTATAAACCAACTGATGGTTCAGAAGCTCAAACTTTAGAAGTTTATGATTATAAAGGTCCAGGTGTTGGTTTAGCTATGTACAATACTGATGAATCAATTGAAGGTTTTGCTCATTCATCTTTTAAATTAGCAATCAGTAAACAATTGAATTTATTCTTATCAACTAAAAACACAATTTTGAAAAAATATGATGGTAGATTTAAAGATATTTTCCAAAAAATTTATGATGAACAATATAAATCTAAATTTGAAGAATTAGGTATTTATTATGAACATCGTTTAATTGATGATATGGTTGCTCAAATGGTTAAATCAAAAGGTGGTTTCATCATGGCTTTGAAAAATTATGATGGTGATGTTCAATCAGATATTGTTGCTCAAGGGTTTGGTTCTTTAGGTTTAATGACTTCAGTTTTAGTTACACCAGATGGTAAAGCTTTTGAATCAGAAGCTGCTCATGGTACTGTTACTAGACATTATAGACAACATCAACAAGGTAAAGAAACCTCAACCAATTCAATTGCTTCAATTTTCGCTTGGACTAGAGGTTTAGCTCAAAGAGGTAGATTAGATGGTACTGAAGATGTTGTTAAATTTGCTGAATTATTAGAAAAAGCTACTTTAGATACCGTTCAAGAAGATGGTATCATGACTAAAGACTTAGCTATTGCTACTGGTAGATCTGATAGAGAAAGTTACGTTACAACTAATGAATTTTTAGAAGCTGTTGAAAAACGTTTAAAAACACAAGTTGAAGCTCAATTATAACTTTAATATTTGATCAATATAAATTTAATCTATGATTATCAAATTTAATCAATATTCATCAAAGAAAATATATATATACAGATCTAACATGTGAATTGTTGATTTGTTTTATTTTAAAGAAAAAAGAACGTCATTTATAATAGTCATTTTCAAAATGTCTATTTAAAATATAACTTATTATTATTTTTTTATACAATTATCATTATTTTATCTTCATTAAATTATTTTGGGTATAAAGCAAAAGGGAAATGCTGGTCATGAATATATAAAAACTATATTTAAATATCAACTGTAGTTTATAACAATTGCTTTATATCAAACTGCTAAACATCCTGCGATATCTGCAATTCAATAAGTTTATTTATGCTTATCTGTTGATTTAATGTGATCAGATACAGGTTGAACATTATTTGGGAATTTTTCAGGTTCTTTTGATGCTAAAAATTCCCAAAGAAATATTAGACTGAAATAAGTTGCAAATGTTATTGATAATACTTTAACTAATGGTTTACCAAAGTCTTTATAGAAAGCAGCCTTTTATAACAGTGTTAGTACATAAATCTATGTGGAAAATATTATGAGATAGTTACATACATGTGGATTTATAGCAGGTTGTCCATTTTTGGTAGTTGTAGTTGTATTTGTTGGTTGACCTCGTGAATGTGACTCTTTATTTGGTTGTTGTTGTAATAATCTCTTTGTGGTGGATAGATTTCTATAATTGACAAAAGGCGATATGGATCTTGATTTAAGGCTTTGGAGTGAGTTTTTAAACATTTCTTTTCGTTCAATTGATCGTTGTATACAACTTTGGAATAGTGTTCACATAGTAAAACGAGATTGAACTTTAATCTTTTCAGCTATACATTTAAATTGTGGGTCGCGAAAAATCTACAATATTAGTTCACTATGAATATCAAATTTACGTGAATTATTTCATTTATCTATGTACAAAAAGTTTCAAATCATTTATGATGATGTTGGATGCAAAGCTTTGTATTCTTTTTCTAAACCTCTAACGGTTCTCCATAAGACGTTTTTATCATTTTCACCTGGTTGACCACAAGCTGCCCATCTAATTCTACCTTCATGATCAACAACATAAATATAACCAGTGTAAGGATTTAATAATTGGATTTGTTCTCTTAGATCGATATGCAAACTCTTTCTTGGGACAATGAAATAATTATCATGTCTCTTTTCATGTAATGATTTCTTAATACCAGATTTAGAAAGCTGAACAAATGCTGCTTTAAATGCATTTTCTGTAACGTTTATATCAACAAATTGTGAAGTTGGATGATCTTTCAAAAATTGTTCATAACCTGGCTTGGTCAAATAATTGGCATCTAATAATTCGAAATATTTCTTTATACTATCTTCTGCAACTTGTGAAGTGAAAACTCTAACAACTGAAATTTTACCTTTTAAAGTTGAAGTTGTACCTCTAATTTTTGAGCTTGATAAGCCTTCACCTGAAAAATTTGGGAAATATAAAGCCTTTTCAGCTTTCCAATATGATGGTGGAGATAAAAACATTTTACCCTTTGTTTGTCTATAAGTATAAACATCATACATCCCAGATCTTGACATTTCTTTTTGTAATTCTTCTTGTCTTGCTTGATTTTTAACAGGATCCATGAAATCTCTATATTTTTGTTTAAGATTTCTTGGATCAGAAGCTGGATTATCAGTATCTTTTGGTTGTTCTATCACACCTAGTGGTTTTTGTAATTGTTCAACAACATGTTTCTTTGGTGTAGTGGCTTGTATTTGTTTGTTAAGTTTCCCCAAGAAGAATTGAGTTGATGAAGTTGAAAATAACCTTGTGCTGGGTATCTTAGCAGCAGCGTTTGTACTTTGAAGAAACATCTTAATTTAGGATATTTCGTTACTGAACTTTTCCTTTAGAAATCGTAACTTTTTAACAAATTGAAAGTTCAGTTTTCCACTTCTCACCAAAATCTTGGTCGCGCACGAATTTTTGAGCTTTTTCTAGATCTTCAACGATGATCATGAAGATCAAGCTCGAAACCATATCAGAGATAGATCAAGATCACCCGAGATTTATTTGAATCTGAGTTGAAATACTACAAGTTCGAAATTTCCCAGCACTATATATATGTATTTATTATAAATGAATTGTATCCTTGACTTTTTTGTATAAGAAAAATAGGGGGTATCGAAAAAATATGATAGTGAAAAATGTAAGCAAAAAGAAGTAGGTTTAAGATCAAAGATCTTGAAACCGTTAAAAGAACCAAAAAGACTTCATCGTAATTGTAAGAAAGTTTTGTTAGAAATGATATTGAAATTTATTAAATATGTGAATGTTTTTGTTTTCATCCCTAATTCGTTTCATAAGTAAAGTTTGGAAATTGATTTGAATCAAATTAAAGTGTAAAAAGCTTTTAACTCATTATAAGATTAAACCAATGGCAGCAGCACCAATTAAAGCACCAACTGGAGCGTTCAAAGCTAAACCAGCATCAGTTTGAGTGACAATGCTTTGAGTTGATGAAGCTGAAGCTTGGGATGATGGAGCAACTGAAGCAGATGAAGAAACAGATGAAACTGGAGCAACTGAGTGGAAGGCTGATGAGGATGATTCTGGAGCAGCACTTGATGATTCAGAAGCAGATGAAAATTCAGAAGCAGATGAAGATTCAACAGCACTTGATGATGGAGCAGCAGATGAAGATTCAGATGAAGATTCAGATGAAGCAGCAGCAGATGAGGATGAGGATTCAACAGCAGATGATGAAGAAGAAGATGATTGAGCAGATGAAGATGATGATTGGGCAGATGATGAGGATGAGTGAGCAGATGAAGAGGATGAGTGAGCAGATGAAGATGAAGATGATTTTGAGTTAACTTCGGCACCAGCATCTTTACAAGATGATTGGAATGACTTGTAAGCATCATCACTTTCACCTTTTGGACAAGTAGAATCTAGACAACTTTTGATTTTTGATTCTTCATTTTCACAAACACAAGCAATTTGGTTTAAAGCATTACATTGGTTTGAATCTTTAACAACTTTTGAAGCACAAGCTAATAAACAAGCTGGAGGAGTAGCAGCACTAACTTGAGTAGCCAATAAAGACAAAGCGGCGATTGAAGTGACAGTGAATGAACGCATTATTGTTGATTATATGAGATGACTGTGTAAACGAAAGTGGTCCTTGGTTTAGCGAAGTTAATTGTTGTTTGTTAAGGATCAACTGTTTGGAGGATGTTCAGGGTTTTATAAATACAATAAAAACATTCAAATTTTCGAAGTGTTTTGTTTTGGATCGATTGATTTCTGATTCCAGATTTTCTATTTTAAGCTCTCCAGGTAAAAAAATTGCGAAAATGAACATGTTTTATGCATGATGTTTGGCCTTTTAAGGAAGTTGCCTTGGAGAATTGACTATTTTTGAAAAAATTAGGTGTGCCAATTGTCCAGATTGGGTAAAGCTGGTGGTGAATGGCAAAAGGAGAAATTACCAATTTGGAAATCTGTTAAGCTTTTTTGCCCTCATGCAGTAATGGATATCGACACTGAACCGTTTTTGGGCATTGATTTGGCGTAAAGTTCTTACTAGCTTAAGCGATTCTGGCGAAATAAGATTTATAGGTCAACCGTCAAAAGTCAAAAATACACACTAATTTAAATCTAAAATGATTCCTTTGATTAATTAATAGTGATTCTTTCAGAAGTCCATGACACTAGGGATAAAAGTTGGTAATGTAGTTTTCATTGTTATTGACCCAATGATGTGTTTTGATGATTGTGTAAATTGAACCCAAATTGACCAGTCAAACTTGTATGGTGGCAATTCCGACTTTTTGGCAGCTAAGTTATCGAAAAAGTAGCGCAAGCTCATATCAAGTTTGAAATTACTCTGTTCATGAACTAGATAACCTCTTTACGATTACAAAGAACTCTGATAGATATTGATCTTATTAAAAGGACAAGATTGGTTATTTGATTGGTAAGTTTTCAACATAAAATACCAGATTTTTTCAAATTAGTGGAATGAAAATATTCCCCATCGCTCAATCGCTATTAAGAATATCTTTCAACCGATTCACTCATTTACCTTTCCAAGCTTCATTTCCAACTTCAACACAAAACGCTTTTGACCCAATTGCCACCAGATTACCCTTTAGAACAATGGCTACTTTCCAAACCTCAAATAAAATTGAAAAACCAGACTTGGATGATAGAGATTATAAGATCTTGAACTTAGAAAATGGTCTTACCGCGCTATTGATCAGTGATAGTAAGACTGATAAATCTGCTGCTGCCCTAGATGTCAATGTTGGTTCTTTCAGTGATTATGAACATTTGCCTGGGTTAGCTCATTTCTGTGAGCACTTGTTATTCATGGGTACAAAGAAATATCCTTCAGAAAATGAATACTCAAGTTATTTATCCAACCATGGTGGTCATTCAAATGCTTACACCGCAGCGGAAGATACAAACTATTATTTTGAAGTCAATCATCAATATTTGGAAGGGGCATTAGATAGATTTAGTCAATTCTTTATCTCTCCATTATTTGATGCAAGTTGTAAAGATCGTGAAATTAGAGCAGTTGATTCTGAAAACAAAAAGAATTTACAAAGTGATTTGTGGAGATTATATCAATTAGAGAAATCATTATCAAATCCTGTTCATCCATTTCATAAATTTTCAACAGGTAACTTGGAAACATTAGAAGAAATTCCAAAATCTCAAGGTATTGATGTTAGGGAGGAATTGTTGAAATTTTACAAAGATTCATATTCAGCTAATTTAATGAAATTGGCCATTATCGGTAGAGAAGATTTAGAAACTTTAGAAAAATGGGTTATTGAAAAATTTAAAGATGTTCCAAACTTTGGTGTTTCGAAACCTCAATTTGAATCTGCTCCATATACACAAAATGAAGCTAAAAAATTAATCAAAGCTAAACCAGTCATGTCTAAAAACAAATTAGCGTTATCATTCATTGCACCAGATCATCAAAAACATTGGGAGGTTCATACAGGTCATTATTTTAGTCACTTGATTGGACATGAAGGTAATGGAAGTTTATTAGCATTTTTGAAAACCAAGAGTTGGGCAAATGGTTTATCAGCTGGTGGATATTCAGTCTCTGAAGGTTGTGGTCAATTTAGTATTGATATTGATCTAACTGAAGAGGGATTGAAATATTATGAAGATGTTTTATATGCAACTTTCCAATATTTAGAGCTTTTAAGAGTTTCATTACCACAAAAATGGATTTATGATGAATTAAAAGATGTCAGTGAAATGAATTTTAGATTTAAACAAAAATCATCACCTTCTGGTACTGTTTCAAAATTAGCAAAAGATTTGCAAAAAACTTTTATTCCAGATGAAAATGTTATAAGTAGATCTGTTTTAAGAAGTTATAATCCAGATTTGATTTCAGAATATGGTAATGCGCTAAATGTTGATAACGTTAGAGTCACATTGATTTCTCAAAATGTTAAAACTGATAAGCAAGAAAAATGGTATGGTACTGAATATTCTGTTGAGGATCTATCCGAAGAACTAATTTCAAAATTAAGAAAACCAGCTTTGAATGGTGATTTACATTTACCAAATCCAAATGATTTCATTCCTACAAATTTCGAAGTTGAAAAATTAGAAGATGTTGAACCTTTGAAAAAACCGGCTTTATTAAAATCAGATGATAAAATTAGAGCTTGGTACAAGAAGGATGATCAATTTTGGGTTCCTAAAGGTTACATTCAACTATTGATTAACTTACCAATTACGGTTGCTACACCAGTTAACAATGTTTTAACTAATTTGTTTGTTGACTTATTAGATGACGCCTTGATAGATACTTCTTATCAAGCTGAACTGGCTGGTTTGAGCTTTTCTTTACATCAAGGTAAAGAAGGGTTAGTACTTGAAGTTGCTGGTTATAATGAAAAGGCACCAGTTTTATTGAGGGAAGTTTTGAAGAAATTGGTTTCATTCAAAGCAACTGAAGATAGATTTAATGTATTCAAAGAAAAATATACCAGAAACTTGAAGAATTATGGTTACAAAGTTCCTTACAGTCAAATTTCATCAGTTTTTGCCAATATTTTAAATGAAAACACTTGGGAAGTTGAAGAGAAATTATCAGTTTTAGAAAATATTACATTTGAAGACTTGAGTAACTTTACTCCTTTGATATTTAAACAAACATTTGTTGAAACTTTAATCGAAGGTAACTTCCAACCTAAAGAAGCTCATGAAATTATTAGCGTCATTGAGGATAATATCAAAGCCGAACCATTGACTAAAACTCAAAAAGTCAAATCAAGATCTTTTTGGATCCCTGATAACAAAGCTTACAGATATGAAAAGGATTTACCAGATGAAAAAAATAAAAACACATGTGTTCAACATTTTATTCAAGTAGGTGAATTGAAAGATAGACCGTTACAATGTATCACAGAATTATTGGCTCAATTGATTAAAGAACCAGCGTTTGATACTTTACGTACTAAAGAACAATTAGGTTATATTGTCTTCAGTGGTTTGTTGGAATCTAGAACAACATTTGGTATCAGAGTTATTGTTCAAAGTGAAAGAAATTCAACTTATTTAGAATCAAGAATCGACAATTTTTTCAAGCAATACCATACAACATTGAAAGAATTAAGCGAAGAAGAGTTTGAAAAAAATAAAGAAGCTTTGATCAATAGAAAATTAGAAACTTTGAAGAATTTAGGCCATGAAAATAATAGATTCTTACGTGCAATTTCAAATGGGTTCTATGATTTCTTGCACAATGAAACAGAAACTGAAATTTTGAAAAAGATCACCAAAGCTGAAATGCTTGAGTTTTATGAAAACAAGATTTTACAGAATCATTCTAAATTGATCATTAATCTTCACTCTAAAGCTAACGAGGATCATGAAACAGTTGAAGGCTATCCAACAGGTGAAGTTATTGAAGACGTTGGAGAATTAAGATCATTATTCTATTTGACACCATCTGCCAAACCAGTTGAAGAGTTGACCATTGAAAATTTTAAGCCAAAGTTATGAACCAATATTCGTGTAAGTGATTATGTACTATAATGCATTAATACAATTAGATCAATCATGTAGACTTAACAATAATTATAACGAATTTTAGGAATGTTAACTACGATTTCAGTGTATTAAGAATGAAAACACAAATGTGTATTTAAATAATTAAGATATCTCCTTTCATCGACATTCAGATTTCATCACCTCCCTTTGGAAGATACACGATATCCAAACTTCCTATCCAGGACAAATAAAATTTTTGATCTTGGAAACGGTCATTAAGAGACTGCAATCTCTTGAATGGCAATGAATTAACTTGACAATTTACGTTAATTCATCGTGGCAAATGTTTCCCTTTACTTTTTGATTGGAGAAAGGGAAATATAATACAAAGTTAAAAAATTTGGCGTTCGGAAATTTTTCATATAGTTCTCAAAATCGGTAAGTGCAGTGGAAAATGATAGGAACAGTATCTATGTATAAATACTAGGGCTACAATTTTAATGAAGAATGATTAAAATAACAACAAAAAAACAAAAATTATGTATTAAACGTTAACATATATGCTGAAGAATCTATAAATGGCTTTATTGAGTCCACATGATAGATTGTTTTGGCCAAACACGCTTGAAAAGAGACATGGCAACAGTATCTTGAGAAGTTAATTTACCATCGAAATTAGCTTTGAAATAACCATGGGTACCTAAACTATCTTTAATGAAACCAGATCTACCTGATTTAGTAAATAATGGAACAGCTTTGAAGAAATTGATATCTTCTGCATTGAAGAACATATAACGGATAGTAACAACGTTTTTATGAATCTTCAATGGATGACCAGTTAAGATAGCTCTCTTGGCTAAGACTCTTTGATGTTCAGCATTCAAGAATGAACCTTTACCAACCAATTCAATCTTCTTTGGTGATTCTGATATTTGTTTGAAAAAAATAGCTGGGGCATTGGTGAAATTAACTGGTGCTATAGCAGTCGCTATACCAACGGAATCTTGGTGTAAGAATCTTTCATATTTATGAACGTTGTTTGGACTGTTTGATGCAGCTGAATATAGTGGTTGGATAACTTGACGTCTTGGACCATATTGAACAATGATGGTATCTTTTGAAGGAATTGGTTTTTCATAATCTTCCCATGGTTGAATAGAAAAGTTAACAACTGCTAATTTATGTTCATGCTCTAGTAGACCGTATAGTATAAACGGTACTTCTTTGAAATGTGACATGTTTGATGTGATGAATTGTGGTGCTCTAATATATAATTTGACTTTTGAACCAGCAGTAACTTGTGCTTCTTTAATTGAGTCTTTTAAAATTTTGTTTTTAGTTGCTTTGAAATTTGAAATACGTAATAATCTCTTCCATTCAGATGGTGCTTTTGGATCGTATTCATCACAATCCCAAGTTGAGTTATGTAAATTCTTCAAACCTCTATATCTTTTTAACCTTTCTTTACCTGATTCAGTTGGATTTAATTCTAATTCATCAGGAAATTCACGATCTTCTTCTTCCTTTTCACGATGTTCTCTTAATTGACGTTCTTCTTCTTCTGGTGATAATTCGACAAACATTTCACTTTGTGCATCTTCTGGTTCAGTTTGGATTTCTTCAACATCCATTTCTTCATCATCTTCAACTAACTCTGGTTCACTTTCTTCACTTTCTATATCATCATCACTAACTATATCATCTTCCAAAAACCATTTGGCTTGGTAATCAGAAGTACCTTCAGGCAAATTTAATTTTGGCATCTTAACCTTTTCAGCTGGTAAATAACCATTTTCATATCTTACAGCTTCATCATCATATTCATAAGCTTCTTGTTCCCAGTCATCCATGGAGACTTCATTTGGTGCTAGTTCGTCTAAGGTCTCTTGGTCTGCAGTAGCTTCATATGTATCTAAGTCACCACCTCTTTGTAATCTTTCAATACGTTCTAATTGGAAATCACCTTGTCCTGGAATATGAATTAATCTATTTGCATTGAAACCAGTTCCTCTTGCTGTACCTTCAACGGTTAAATAACCATCTTGTGGGTTTTCAGTATTAGCAGATTCCCAGTTAACATTATCAGCAATGATCCAACCTCTTGAGTCTCTCCATGTGATTGATTTAGGGAATTTTTGACATAATGTTCTAATTGCAATCAATGAATCTGATGCATTTTCTAAATTATAAATCTTTTCATCTGCTGGGAAGAAATGTTTGAAATAACTTTGTAATGATTGTTTTAAATCCAATTGGAATTTTTCTTTTGGTTGAGTGACTGATAAGTTTGTAACAACACCCATAACATGTGCAATACCTTGTAATTCCAAAGCTCTGATAATTTGTTCACCATAATCTGGATCAACTTCTGAAGTACCAGATAAACCAAACACTACAAAATCTGCAACTTTTGCAGCATCTAAAATTGAGACAAAGTTATTGAAATCTGGAATAATGAATTTTAAGTTTGCTTTAAATTTATTGATTCTAACTGAAGTCACTGAAGTACCTTGGATCATTGAAGCATCTTGGCCTTCAATTTTAGCACCATCTATTAATCTGTTAACAATATCTTCTGCTGCAACATCTTCAGTAAGAGGAATAACAGTAACAACTTTTTCAGCACCATGAATACCATCAAAAAGCTTTCTACTTTGAGCAGTTTGTGCAATTTTATGTTCTTTCAATTGTTTGGCTAAGTTCTTTCTTTGTAATTTACTTGCACCTTTAACTGGTTTTGAAGTTTTAACATCTTTTTCAACTTTCCCTTTGAATTTATTCTTCAAAGCACCTTTTGAGGCATGCTTTGACTTGAATGGTTTGTGACCATTCTTAACGGTGGATCTATGTGAATGTCCTCCAGCCATTTTGGTGTATGTTTATCTATTTAAAGATTCATTATTTTGATCTATACTATAGAAAGTTTTTCGTACATGTATGATAATAAATTTTTAGCGACCAGGGCACCGAACCATCTCATCGCCAGATCTTAATACTTACGCACAATAACCAGGAGTGTTGAATTTAGAAAATGACATTTGTGTACTAGCTACTAGAGAGATGGAAACGATTGGATTACGAGTCACTATTCTGGGAGCATTAAGTAAATAGCTCTCACCCTTTATTACGAAACAATTTGGTAATTATATAGCATTGCAATAAATGTCGTTGATCATTAACTTTAAATAACCTTTGGGTGAGGTATTGTAGTTTTGGGGATTGTTTGGTGGATGCGTCATGGAGAGCTCCTGCTTTGTGTCTTGTGCTTAGAGTGGTATCTCTTGGTGAAAAATCATCTCTTTTTAAAGCTTCAATTTGACCAGTTCTTTCCATGGAAGCTAGAAGCTAGAAACTAATTTATTATGTGTAGAGTTGAACTTCAGAAATGTAATGATTACAGTCGCGAATACGCCCTAGCTCAAGTCACATGAGGTTATTTCGAAAAATTGTAAATCCAGACACCAGGACGAAACATTTGTGACCTTGAAAAATTTTTCCAGTTTCTGTCAATTTCCTACGTGCTCACCGAAGCTGGGTAGGATCGTTGATAGAATTTTAAAAGTATAAGCTGAAGCGTTACAACAATACAGATATAGTGATTCACCACAACAAAGTCAAACACACAAGAATTAATGTAAGTGATAGGTCAAGAACATTGAAATGGGAATGAACAAGAACTAGAGGCAACTGTTATATTGAATTTGTGGATTATACTTAAAGAAATGACTATCACGAGAATGAAAAAAACTATCATCAATTTTATCAAAAAGACATCACATATTATTTTAAAGGAACGTAGACCAAATAATAGAAAATTATTGATATTTATCCATTACAGACTATAAAACTATATCCCATCCAATTAGTATCATCTTTAAAGTCAAACTACAGAGGGGAATAGTCATCATTTTGTTCATTATACCATATTCAATATTTAAATTTCCTATAAAAGATCAAAGTACTAACAAATTTCAATAGCATGGCTCACGAAAACGTTTGGTTCTCTCACCCAAGAAAATACGGTAAAGGTAGCCGTCAATGTAGAATCTGTTCATCTCACTCAGGTTTAATCAGAAAATACGGTTTAGACATGTGTCGTCAATGTTTCAGAGAAAAAGCTAAAGATGTTGGTTTCAACAAATACCGTTAAGGAAAATTCATTATCTTCTGCTGCTGTATTTATGGTTTAATGTTGTATTAAAAAAGGTTATAATATAAAACTTTACTAGGTTATACTGTCATAGATCATATTTTCTGTAGTTAAGCATTAATTATTAAATCACCGCGTAGCGTGTAAAGCTATACTAGTGTACCTCGCTATTAGCAGGATATTTCCTCCCCACTGTGCGTGCAGAAACCAATCTCTGCCTAGAGTCTCAACTCCGGACAGAGTAATTAGTAATCCTAGGCAGACAATCAGAGATCAATGGTGAAGTTTTCAGTATTTTACTTATCAATTATGGTTTAACTCCATCTTTTATACCTGAAAATCTCAAGAATACAGACATTAATTTCAAATAATGTCATCATCATATTTCAAATGTAACTCATGTGCTATTCAGTTCCCAAACTCTGATTCTCAAAGATATCATATGAAAACAGAATGGCATAGATATAATCTTAAAAGAAGGGTGGCACAACTTGCTCCAATTGATGCTACATTGTTTGCTGATTTAAAGCAAAGAGCTGAACAATCAAAACAATATGAAGAAGAAACTGATGAATTTGGATTCAAAATCATTAAAGAAAGACAACCAAAGAAATTCCATATCAATCAAAGAAATAGAGTTGATACTTTAAGAGGTAGAGCTGCTGCTCATGTTGCTTCTTCTTCCAATACTAATGGTATAGCTAGAGAAGTGAGTCCTGCAAGTACAGTTGCATCTGGTCTTTCAAGTTTTTCACTTGGAGAATCTGTTTATAGTCATCCTGCTACACATACTGATGTTGATAGTGATTATGAATTATCTTCACAAGCTGGTACTGATCCAAGTTATGCCCCTTCTGGGGATGAAGATAATGAAGAAGATGAAGACGATGAAGAATTTGATAGAATTTCTCATCATGATGCTGACTTATTACAACCAATTACAAGTTGTATATATTGTGGTGTTCCACATCATGATATTGAAACTAATCTGAATCATATGTTCAGAAATCATGGATTATTTATACCTGAAAGAAGTTATTTGGTTGATTTAAAAGGTTTATTAGAATATTTGATTTCAGTTATTGTTATTGATAATGAATGTTTATGTTGCAGTTTTAAAGGAAGAAGTTTAGAAAGTATAAGAGCTCATGTCACATCAAAAGGTCATTGTCGTCTACCCTATGAAACTAGGGAAGAAAGAGCTGAATTTGAGAGGTTTTATGATTTCTCTTCAATTGATGAACAACCTGAAAAAACCAAGACTACAAAGAGTATAAGCTTTTCAAACTCTGAAGGTCCAGAAAGTCAAGACGAAGATGATAATGAAGATGATGAATCAAATGATAGAGATTTGGCTCTAGTATCCACCACCACTAGTGAAAACAGTAATAGTGATGATTATACCATAGCTCATATTGATCCATTAGACTCAGAACTAGCATTACCTAATGGTAATCGATTAGGTCATAGACAGCACCAAAGAATTTATAGACAAAATATTCATTTACCTAGAGAACCAACAGATGGTCAATTAACTGTATCAAATGCTGATAGAAGATTAGCAACATTACCTTCCTTACATGAACAAAAACAAGTTAAACATATTAGACAAATTGAACAAAAGGAGAAAAGCACACATATCCGCCGTGAAGTTAAGCGTGTTAATTTCCAACCTCATTTCAGAGATCAAATGTTAGGTGGTTAGTTTATATTCATCATTTCCTACAAGTTTTTTTCTTTTTTTTTTGGAATCTTTGATCATATAGAGTATTAATATAAAGTATAGTCATTATGATTAAAATTATTATAGTACTTTTGTAGAATTATATAGAAATACTGTCTAAGAAGAGTCAATTGTTGGCTGTTAAGATTATTTATCAGCACCAAAGCCCTTTAGACCAAATGATCTACCTGATAATTTTCTAACAGCCTGTTTGGTATCAAATTTTAATGAATGACCTTGCGAAGGTTTTTCTTTATCATCAATTGGATCACCTTTTTCTAAAATTGGAGTATCATTATATTTTGGTAGAGCTGATCTTGTCTTTGGATTAACTGCATTTCTTAATCTTGATTGTTCATGAATTTCTTGAACTGATCTAAATCTTTGTAAAAGTTCTGAATATTTTGTAGCTTTTGATTTATTTGATGTTTCTGATTCTTTAATATCTAATTTTTCCTGTAAATTTACCATTGTATTTATGACACTTATACTGCTTAAACGATTTTTCAAAGTTGCAAATGCAGTTGATTGAGGTAACAACATCAAGATACCAAATAAACATTTATAAAGATATGGATATTTATCAGGTTCTAAAAGTTGTAATCTAACTCTTGTAAAGACTGGTGATTCTAATAATTGAACCAAGATATCAATTTGAACTAAAACATTGACCGTTATTTCAAAGTCAACAAAAATTTGAAGAACTGAATAAGCAAGTTCATATGCTTGTGCAAGTAAACATAAAGCTAATGCAGCTGGTGCATTATGACTCCATGCTTTGAAAAGAGTTGAGAATAATTCCCAATCACCTTTATCACCTAAATCTCTTAATTGTTTTCTTAATTCAGCCAATTCAGGTGCTGTAATCAAATTATTATTCAAGATTTGAATCATTGTACCAACTAGTGTGACATCATCTTCTTTACCCAAGACTTCAGATAATGTTTGATATATTCTTTTGGAATCTAATGAGATACATAATTGTCTCAAAATGAAATTTCCTCTAGTTTCCAGAAGTTTTTGATCTTTTTTAAATAAATCTAATAAATCCAACATGAATAAAGAGAAACTTTCATCATCACTATCAAATGATATATCAGATAATAATTGTAAATCACGATGTATAACTTCTTCACTTGAATCTGATAATGCTTTTAATAAAGTTGTAAAAGTATCATCATTATGATGTAATAAATGCTTTGGTGATTTTCTATGTAGCATCGCCAGCCAATCTAAAGCTGCGATTCTTGTAACTTCATTTTCATTTAAAAATTGAGAGGTGACAGTATTGATTGTAAGACTATAATTGAGTTTTTTCTCATCTTCTTCATTCAAATTTGTTACTAATTCTAATAGTCTATCATTAACTTCTTTGGAACTTTCTTTTGAACTTGAACCTTCTTGATTAGCCATAGTTAATAATAAGACAGATAAAATCTTTGGTAAATATGGAATGAAACTTGATGGTGAGATTTCAAGTAAAGCATCTAACCAATTTAATACAACTAATTGAATTTTCTCTTCTGATGAATCTAAATGTGAAATTAAAATTTCAATAATCTTTGGGTAATCTAAATGTATATCTTGACCCGGTATATAAAGTTCACCATCGTGTTGCTCTTCTTCCTGTTTTTCAATTTGATTGTTGTTATGAGTTTCAGGTTGTTCAACTTTATCAACATTTTCTGGTTGTTGTTCACCATTAGATAATAGACTATCATCTGCATTATTATCATTATCTTTGATATCTTTTGGACCTTTAGAAGGGGTTGAAGTTTCAATTTTATCTTGATCTAAAGACAGATCACCAACTGATTTTTGTAAAATACTATTATTATCTTTTAATTTTTTAATTTTTTGTTCTCTAACTAATTTTTGAATTTCAGAAACTCTTCTAATTTCATGTAAAAAAACATCTAAAGCTGATTGAGTTATAACTCTAACATCACTATGTGAATCACTTAGGAAAATTATCATCCCACTTAAAAAAGCTGGTAAATAAGAAATTAATTCTAAATCAGGAACTGAATTCAATAAAGTTATCCATGAAACTAAAAAGATTCTTGTAAATGGATTTATAGCATAGATTCTTTCCATAAGTAAAGGAATAAATTTTGGTAATGAAAAAGCTGTTGGCTCTTGTTGTGGTTGTAATTGTAAAACTTGACCATTAGTATCTTTTATAGTAGTTTGTGTAGCATTTTTATAAGCTAACTCTGGATTATTTTGAATAACACTAACATATGAAGTTGCCTTTTCAGAGACTATATCCTTGATTAAACGATCCAGTAAATCTGCACCGTTCTTCACAGAAGCATCAGAGTCAGCAGCCAGTCTGCACAGAACATCAAATATTTCATTAAAATATAATAAGATTTCACCTTTGGAGACTTTAGCGATATTGTATAAACTTTCACAAGCATAATATCTAACTCTAGCATCTTGATCACCAAAACAAGCCAATACTGGATGTATAATATCTTCTAAATAAACAGCCACTTCATTTTGACCTAAAGCAATTGCAGCGGCAGCCAACCCAATCAACCCACCATTTCTAGCATTTGGCTGATGAACCGAATACGCATACTCTTTGGATAATTGGTCAATAATAGCCCTCACTTTATCAGGAGATTTCCCATCTTTGTTCTCTTCAGACTTTCTTTCAGCTAAACATTGTCTAATTTGACGTTCCAACTCCAAGGCTGCTGTTTTCCTCTTCTCGTACAGCCGGTCGTTGAGCCCACGCGCTATATTCTTTTCTATTCCAATTTGTTAGTCCATGATATCCAGCACATAGCTTGTCTTTTACTCACCCATTGTTCAATGGCGCTTTGGTGTTCCTGTCTTTGTTGATGTTTAGTTGAAATTGATGTATATGGGTCGTTATCAAAAGCTGTGTTTACATTTCTGATTTCCCAGAAAATGTGTCTGTTCGCACCAGGGCCGTTTAACCATCGTAACAATAAAGACAATAAGCTACAATTAGGTTCACCATGGACGTTTATACGTTTATTGATTAGCACAGTTCTGTTCCAATTCTTTATCCAAATTATCTGGTAAATCGTCATTACCAAAATTTAATCCAGGAAGTCCAGTTTTATTAAAATCACCAACTAAATCTTCAGGTGGATTACCAGAATTTTGCATTTCTTCTAATTTAGTTGAAATGAATTCTTTATGTGGTTTACTTGAATCACTATATGATTCTTCATCAAATTTATCCACTATACTTTTCACGATATCTGATTGTTTAGTATAACGTTCCAATTTTTCTTTAGTAATTTTATTTTTATTTTCTTCAATCCATTTTGGATATTTTGATGATAAATCTTTAAGTGGATCATACAAAATCTCTTTAGAAGCTAATTGTTCCAACATATCACCGAGTAATTTAGTAATATCAAAATCACCATCTTCACCTGGATTTCCTTCACCATCAAGATTCAATTGATTAAAAAGATCATTCAAAAATTGATCTGGTTCTTCACTCTTAATGGATTCATCAACTTTAGCACCGCTTGATTTTAATCTGTTTAACGTACTCGATATGGTATCTTTCAAATCTTTATCATTAGAATCTTTTTGAAGTTGTTCATTTGGTTTCACATCACTTGGACCATTTAAAGTTGATACATCTTTCAATAATGCATCCAATTGTTGTCTAGCTTCTGGGGATTCACTCTCCAATTGTTTCAAAAGATCTTCAATCTGTTGTTTATCTGAATTAGAAAGAGGTTCACCATCTATAGTAGTATCCTTCTCTTGATCTTTTGAATCTTGGTTATGTGATTCTAAATCATGTCCTGGTGGTTTACTCAATATATCATCAGCGAAATCGTCCAAATAGTCATCCAAATCATCCAAATCGTCCAAATCTTCACCCACTGGCTGTTTCTTGTCTAACTTCTCTTCTGAAGGCATCCTGTACTCTGTCTAGCTCTCCTTCTGGTCCTTCTAGCACTCTGTCTAAAGTCAACCTAGCCTAACAAATTAAATTGAAATAAATTCTTCTCAGTATAAAAAACGTCTCCGCCAAATTTTGATTTTGTTAATTTGCCCGAATTCAAAATTTCCAGGACGACGGCGAAAAAAAGTACAACCTTTAAAAGTAAATTAAAATTTAACGCGATTTGAAATATTGAATATAAACTAATCTTTAAAAGTATTGGAACTTGTTTTGACAAAGACTATTTGAAGCTCGTGAAGATGTCTTCCCTTTTGAAAAACCGTCTTCAAGAAGAAAGGTACGTATTATTTGAATTAGATGGGTGCTCTATTAGTTGATAACTTTGTGTCTATCTTTGATTTTGTGTCCATTTAAATCTTTATGCATTATCAATTGAATTAAATTACTAACGTGATATCTTTATATAGAAAACAATGGCGTAAAGATCATCCTTTTGGATTCTATGCTAAACCAGTCAAAGCTGCTGATGGTTCTCTTGATTTACAAAACTGGGTTGCTGGTATTCCAGGTAGAGATAATACAATTTGGGAAAATGCAGTTTTCCCAATAACTTTAACATTTCCTGATGATTATCCATCAAAACCACCAAAAGTTAAATTCCCTGCTGGATTTTATCATCCAAATGTTTATCCTTCAGGTACTATTTGTCTTTCTATATTAAATGAAGATCAAGATTGGAGACCTGGTATCAATTTAAAACAAATTTGTTTAGGTATTCAAGAATTACTTGATACTCCAAATCCAGATTCTCCTGCTCAAGAACCTGCTTGGAGAGCTTTTGGTAAAGATAGACCAAATTATGAAAAAAAAGTTCTTGAACAAGCTAAAAAATACACAAAATAAAGTGGGTTTCAATAAAAGTTTGATGAAAGATGAAGATAAAGTTGTTTTTTGGTGGGAGTGCAAACTATGATTTATTTCAAAGTTTACTCGTAACAATATATCAAAAGTTTAACGCCACCAATGTATTTTTAAAAAAACGCTAGAGATTTGTGTACTTTTTTGAAGGTTACAGTATTTTTTTTGACACATGTTTGTTTAGGAGTTACGATAATTTATAATATTTAGTTTCAACAAAATTTCATTATATTGTAGTAATTATATAGTATACAGGGACATGATATGGACTTATATTTATAAACCTCTTTCTTTCTTTTTATAATCAATAAATCTTACTAAATTATTTAAAACTTCTTCACCTTTTATTTTCAATTCTGGATTAACATTCTTATCAACAAGTCTAATTGAATGTTTAATCTTTGGTGATAATTCTTCTAATTTTTGTAAATATTGTCTTTCAACGAAAATTGGATAATCATAGTCATATTCTAAATCTCCAAAAATTTCATAAATTAAATCTAAAATTTCTATAACAATTTTTGATGAAACATTTGGTAATTGATTTAAAATCAACATTAAAAATCCTGAAATTTCACCATTACGTTCAATTTGTCCTTGAGTTTGAGCTAATGAAGCTAAAAATCCAATTAATCTAACTAAATATTCTTCTTTTAAATACAAATCTAAAGATTCATCATTTGATACAGTTTGATATTCATTAATTAATGATTTAATGAAATCATCACTGATTGGAATATCATCATGATTAACAGATGAAATTGCCCATAATATACCAAATAAACTAATTTTATTTTCTAAATTTTCTTCAGGTTTCATAGTTAATAAAGTCCATAAATTTTTAGCCAATTTAGACCATTCATCTAAATAAATTCTTAATGTAGCAAATAACCAATTCAAATTGTTTAATGCAGTTAAACTACCAGTTTTATATTCATCATATGATAATAAAAATGTTAAAACTTCTGGAACTCTTCCTAATAACGAGTTAAATAATGGATCATCTTCAGTTTCTTTAATTTCAACATCTTCTTCTGGAGTTCTCCCCACTGCAATGATTTCAATTGTAGCAGTTATAACTTCAATAGTTAATGAAATTGCTTGTAAATTTGATTTAGCCTTTGAACGTTTTTTAGTTTCTTCTGTAATGTTTATATTTGTTGTATTGTCCATATTTTCAATCAATACATTTCTTTCATTTTCAATATTTATATCTTGAATTGTGGAAAGTGAATCATTAATTATATTGTATAATATTTCATCTTTACCATTTGAAATATTTGAAGCTTCTAATAATTGAAGTTTAATACCTTGAATATAAACCATTGTTAATTTATTTAATTTGGATTTATTACTAAATTCTTGTAATTTATTAATATCAATTTCTAAAATTTGATCTAAATTTTGAATAAATTCAACAGATTGACTACTAAAATCATATATAAGATCCAAAATTGAACTAAATAATGTTCCAGAGATTCTTAAATGATTATTGTTTAAATCTAATCCATAATTCAAAATTTCCTTAATGAAAATAACTAATGAATCTAATTTATTTGTAATTTGTTCAAATAAATCATCTGATCCATTACCTAAACCCACAATTAAAGAAATTAAATTCTCAATATAATCAAATAATAATCTTGATTCATTTTTTTGAACTTTTTTTGGATCATTTTTCAAAGCTTGAAATGAAATTTGTGCCTTATTTAAATTATTTTCTAATGTAACCCAAATATTTTGTCTCCATAAATAAGTTGCAACATCATAACCTTCTTCAATAACTAAATTTCTTAAAAGACCAAATGATTCCACAATAATTTCACTATTATCATCAACTAGACATTGTTCCATAATTAATTGTAATAATTTTTCCTTCAATAATAAACTTTTATATTTTGGATCTTCACACATTATAGTAATTGTACCTAAAGCCATTGATTTATCATTTGGAATAACTGATTTCAGTTTTGCAATGATTGGTAAGATTTTAGTTTCTCTTAATGCAGCATCTTGTTGTTCAGCTCCCTTCTTACGGTTTGCAACTGGATTAACACGATGTCTTGATGATCTAGACTTCTTCTTTAATTTACCCATCTTTATATCTATAGCTTTTTAAAGAGTTGTTATGGTATTATACAACTAATAGTAAATGTATATAAAATTTAGAAATTTGTTTATTAAACAAAAAAAAAAAATTCTTGAAGTGATGGATTACCGAATCGGGAAATAAGATTGGATTTTGCAGGAATATAAGTGCAAATTTGCGAAAACATATAATAGAATATAAAATCAACCAGGAAATCAGTGATTTTAAAGCAAAAAGTATTGTTTGAAGTTGAAGATGTGATTGTTGAATATTTTGAGCTCTATCTATCGAGAAAAATCCGGGCTTTCAGGGTTATTTTAAGCTTAAAAGACCATATATAATTACAAAAAACCATATCAATTATACCCATATTTATTTATTAATCATTCATTAATTCATTTAATTATTTATTTACATTACTAGCAAGTTGTTCCTTAACATCATTCGGTATAACAGCTTGTTTCTCACCAACTTGTTTATCAGTTAATAGTTCACTTTTTTGTTTTAGAGCATCTGGATTTTGTGGTGGTGGTAAAATTAAATCACCATTTTCATCATAATTTGGAATTTCTATATCTTTTCTTAAATTACCATCTTTTTCTAGTTGTGCACTGATTTTTAACTAAGTTAGTATTGTTTCTTTGTAGTTTAATTTTGAGTGGATTATACTTACATAACTAATGGTTCAAAAAATTGTGCACCTGAATTTATTATGGGTTAGTGATCTACTTCATATTTGAATTTTAGTTCATATGAAACTTACCGGTATAAACACCGACAAAGATAGTCAAGGCCAAAGCAGAAAAATTGAAAGCGTTAACTCTACCCATCTTGGTTTTTTAAAATATGGATTTGTGTCTTGAAATGTGGGATGTTGGAAGTGGTAAATCATAGATTTGAGATACTACAGAAGAATAAATTTTCGTAAATTTCGCGCATAGTTAAGGAATTACATTACCAATGATTTCAAAATATCAAGATATCAAGATTTCAAGATTGGGTGTTGATAGTTGAATCTAATTATTAGTGACTACATTCTGAAATTATCCAAAAGTATAATACAATTACATGCATTTTTCATTATATGCGTTATAGATCAAGAATACTGTATAACTTCATAACTATCAAATGGGTTAGCCAAAATCAATTTAGAACCAGAGGCAAATGCAACAATACCATCAGAATTTATTGAACCAGCAGGTATATCAAAAGAAGGTATTTGTAATTTAAATTGATGTGATTGTTTTGATTTTGCAGATAAATCATAAAATGAAGATCTATCATTACCAATGGCACCAATTAAAGGTGTTGATTTTGAAGAAATATATCTGGAATTAGTATCCCAACCAACCACTTGATTTTCATTATTTGGTTTAGTATAACCAGCACCATTTATTAATGATTCAGGATCATATTCTTTCCACCATCCATTTCCAACAATTATGATTTTATCATTATTTATTAATACATCTTTAATAACAGGTTGAGAATTTGAAGAATATGAAAATGGATAAATCGTAAATAACCATTTACTTTTTTTATAATCTAAAATTTTAACTGTTGTTCCATTTTCTACTACAATTATTTTATCACTATCTTTATCTATCCAAAATTTAACAAATGTTGGAATGTTATCTAAATGGAAAACATGAGAGTCATCTTTGCCCCAAACTATGATTTTTTTATCATCACCAGCTGAAACAACAGTACCATTTTCTGAAATGTCAATTGAATTAATATCTTCAGTATGTTTGATATCACCATCAACACCTAATTTTTTTTTAATATCACTTAGATGATCAATCAAAATGATTGTATTATTCTCAAGAGCTGTAGCAATGTATTTACTTGTGAATTTTATATGAGTTACAAGATGTTCTAATTCTATATTTGTTTTTTGAAATACCCATTCTTGTTGTAAAGTACTTGGTAAATTTTTTGATATTTGTGTGTTTTTAGGAATTGGTGTTAGCACTGAGATCCCGTTATCATGACCATATGCTAGTAGGTTCCCATTCCAATCAATTGAATAAACTGAGCTTGGTAAGTCATATCTGGAGCAGTAGTTAGTATATATGACCATAATATTCTAAAGTTGTCATAACATAACTCACATCAACGTGTATGCATCATCTTCTGATTTGAAGGATTCGTCGTAGATGTTTGGGATAAGAAGCACAGGCTTCTCGACTTCTATATTCTCTGACTGTGACATGATCAACTAGTTTCTTTCTTTTAGTTCCTTTCCTTTACTTTGCAATTGATCTTTTGAAGCACTTAATTTCCAAATCTCAAATTTTGTTTTTCAAAGTAAACAAAGAAATGGTTGAACCCACACTCAGCGCTTAATTAGTTAACTACGTACTACGTATTGATTCAAGTAAACAACTATTTCTTCAATTCAGTTTTCACCAAATTCATTCCAGTTTGTAAAGTTTCAAAGAAAATAATGAGGAAATGATAGGAATAGCTGCTGTCATACTAAGGAGTCGCTGGTGTTTATACCTTCATAAGCTACTGATTGAGGGATGGTCACAGATGTCTGAAGCTCTAAATTTGTTAATTTTGAATCACAAAAACACAGAAACAACAATTTTGGGTTGTAAGGGGGAGGGTCTGTTGAAATATGAATTCAACGTTATATTATGTTGGAAATGCTCTAGTTTCATACGTCTGAACTAAACAAGTTAACAACAAACAGCTTCGCTATAAATAAACCTTCATTAATATTGCTTCTACGTCGTCTATCATAAATCATAGATAAAATCATGTCACACTCAATGAAAGAGAAATTCAAGAAAGATTACCAATTGGCAAATTACTGGTATTGGTTGTCCATTTGGAAAGCAAGAAGCTCTGTTTATCCTCTCAAATATGAGGTTTCCAATTATGCAAGGGAAAGGTCAAAGCCAAAAGATAAGGAAAATTTTGATACACAACATCATGGTTCTGAATTGAAAGCTAATATATCCAAGAATGAGAGGATTTTCTTTAAAAGAGGAAATATAAAGAAATCTCCACCACAATTTTTGTCACCATTTGATATTTTTCCAATGGAGATCTGGATGAACATTATGGATTATGGTGTTTCTTTTGAACTTATAAAGTTGAATAAAGCCTTCCTTGAACAATTTGCTCCCATATTATATACAGAAATTAATGGGCTAATGGTTTTCAGTGATCTTAAAAAGTTGAAAAAAAATGATGACTTCTTCTTGAAGTTTGGTCCTGAAAGAAAGGGTAAAATGGGGATTAAAGGTTATGATATTTACAAAAGAAGATTAGAATCTCAAAATTATGATTATGAAATGTTAAATATTGACCATATAGACTGGGAATTCTTATTTTTCGACAAAAAACATCACAAATGTTTTTCTGATCATAAATTAAATTACATTACAAAATCATCATGTTTCAATAAAATTTCAATCAACATATTACAAAATGAAACTTCGATCATGAAGAAATTTGTTACAAATACTTCATGGAATCTTGATATCATATTTTTAGGAAGAAATCAAGTATATCAGTTCATGAATTCTCGGAGCTTGTCTCTTATTAAGAGTAATGAAAGTTGTAAGATTGACCCAAATTCTTTTAAGAGGTACCATTGTTTTCCTGGTGATATTCTTATTTCTCAATTCAATGACGCTTCTTTTGGGCAACCTCGTGTGGAAAATCGTAAAAGTGGTAAATTTTTCAGCTCATTGACTACAACATTCCCAAAGTTTGTTTATTATAATGAATTTATTTTGATAAATAGATTGTTACAATATGTTAAATCTGCAGAAAGAAAGAATCTTAATAATGTTGAATCATCACAATATTTCCATGACTTGAGGCCCCTTCTCAATGACGAAGAAAAAAGAGGATTTCAGGATGTTGAGTTATTTGATCACGATATGGCAATGTGTGTAGCTTATTGTCTTTTCGGTGCTTTGGAACCCACATCTGTTCACGTCAAAAATAGAATTTTTTGCCATAAAGAAGATATAGAAAATTTGATTCAAAGTTTCATTGAAATAGGGTCACAAAATAATTCATCTTCATCAATAATGTTTTGCTCCGCTAGTGATCTTAAATCAAAACCTTTACCAGCATTTGAAGAACAGGAAAGATCTGTTATGACTCCAAATTTAGTTCTTTTAAATAAGAAAGTCTCCGATTCGAATTATTTTCATTAGATTGTGTATAATCATTATATTTCATTTCATTTTTTTTCTAAATTATACATCTATCCCACTCTTACTGGCAAAGCTACGATAATAATCTAACATATCTTCAGTAATACCCCTAGAAATGGATTTCAAAGCTTTTTCAAAATGTCTTTTTTCAACTTTTTCAGCAGTTTGATTTTCCATAACTGCAGCTAAACCAGCTTCTTGACAAAGTAGAACAACTTCAGCACCTGAACAACCATCAGTTTTTTCTGCAATTTCTTCTAAATTAACATCTTCTTTTGATAAAGACATCTTTGTAGTGGAATTCTTCAAAATTTGTAATCTTGCTTCAAAATCTGGTGGTGAAACATAAATATGTCTATCTAATCTACCGGGTCTTAATAAAGCTGGATCAATTTCATCAGGTCTATTTGTAGCAGCAACTATAACAACACCATTCAATTCTTCAACACCATCAATTTCATTCAACAATGATGTTAAAACATGACTTCCAGCTGAAGTTGTAGGACCACCTTCAGATCTATCAGGTGATAATGCATCAATTTCATCAAAAAATATAATACTTGGTGCTGCAGCTCTAGCTTTTCTAAAAATTTCTCTAATAGCTCTTTCTGATTCACCAACATATTTATTGAAGATTTCTGGACCTTTAACAGCTAAGAAATTTACACCTGATTCTGTTGCTAATGCTTTTGCTGTTAATGTTTTAGAACAACCTGGTGGACCATATAATAAAACACCTTTTGGTGATGAAACACCTAATTTCTTAAAAGTTTCTGAAGCTTCTAAAGGTAATTGAATCATTTCTCTTAATTTAATCTTCAAGTCTTCTTGACCACCAATATCACTCCAATAAACTTTTGGCATTTCTAAAAGGATTTCTCTCATTGCACTTGGACGAATTTCTGGTAATGCTGTTTCAACATCATCTAAAGTTACCAATAATTGTGAATGTGGAGTTGAAGATTTTAAACCTCTTCTAATTGTTTTCATAACACATTCTCTACAAAGAGCAACAAGATCAGCACCAACATAACCATGAGTTCTTGATGCTAAATTGAAAACATCTTGTTCTGAAAGATTATGACGTTTCATTTTTTCAAATTGTAATTTTAAAATTTGATCTCTTGCTTCAACATCAGGTATACCAATTTCAACTTCTTGATCGAATCTACCAGGACGTCTTAAAGCTGAATCAACAGAATTTGGTCTATTTGTAGCTGCAACAACAACTAATCTACCACTATCACCAACACCATCCATTAACGTTAATAATGTGGCAACAACACGACTTTCAACTTCTCCAGAATCATCACTAGACCTACTTGGTGCTAATGAATCGATTTCATCAATGAAAATAATTGATGGTTGATATCTTCTTGCTTCATTGAAAATATCTCTTAATGCAGATTCAGTTTCACCTAAATATTTAGAAACAATTGAAGGACCATTAATGGTCAAGACATGTGCATTGGTCTCAGCTGCAACGGCTCTCAATAACATTGTTTTACCAGTACCTGGAGGACCATGAAGTAATATACCTCTTGGTGGTGTAATACCAAAATCTGAAAATAATGTAGGTTGATGTAAAGGTAATTCGATTGATGCTTTTAATAATTCAATTTGACGGCTTAAACCACCAACTGATGAATATGTGGTTGTCTTTGGTAATAAATATTTGCTTAATGGTTCAGTATCTTGAGAAAATGTAACTTTTGTGCTACCTCTCTTGAATAATAATGGAGGTGAGATAAATCTTTGAAAATTATCACTATCAGGATTATCATTTTCTTCAAGTTGTAATTTTGCAACGTTAGGTAATGCTTCACTTTCAACAATTACTAAATTTTCTAATGTTTTTTCATCATTTTCAGTTTCACCAGGTGTTGGGAAATTTTGAAATCTTAACCCTGGCATAACAATTCCCACTTCATCCAATACCTTCTCCACAGCTTTTAAAGCTCTTTTAGGTAGCTCTTTTCCAGCTTCATTACCAATGGTTATACTATCACAATATTCAGGTTGAGCTGTAACTTTTGAAATCTCTAATCTATCACCAAACATTAGTCCTGATACAGATCTTAATGCATTTGACACTTGAATCACATTCAATGGACATCCTTCATCACCTGCATTTGCAATAGCTAAGACACCAGCTTCCCCTTCTCTTGAGATATTAATTAACGATCCAGCAGTAATGTCACTAGCTTTCAGTATAGATTGGTGCAAATAAACTTTAGCAACTGATTTATGGTTTACACTTGGTGAAGGCCTCACTACAAAGGTTCTTGGGATTTTGGTCTTTGATGGTTTTGAAGCAGGACCATCTCCTTCATCAGCACTTTTTTTCTTTGGGGTTCCCTTTGGGGCTCCACTAGACCCTGAACTTGCCTTTGGTGCCATTGCCTTTTCTTCCTAGTCTCTTTATAGTCTCTTTTAAATTATTCACTTAATAAAATTATGTTTTATACTCATCTCATCTTCGGAATAATTTTCAATATTTGGTTAGCGCACGCGTTTTGAATTTTTTTTTTTTTATTAGTATGTCTTTTAAACCAATAAAAAATTAAACAATATTTGTGACAAATAACCGTTTCTTGATAAGTTTTGATATATAAACAACCTTCCATCTTTCATTTTGACACTGGAGAAAGACTATAGATATCAGTGTACCATGATACTGGGAAGAATAGGGGTACCCAAGATCATACCAACATGTCTCAGGCCAATACGTCAATATATTTCACTTCCAACACCATATTTTAACATACCCAAAACGATAAGAATAATAGAACAGAAAAAGAAAGAACAGCTACGCATAGAGAATAAGTTACCTGTCAACACAGATCAGATATTTGATTTTATATCGTTGAATCAAAATCAAAAGGAACATATAAAGATTTCTAATAGAATAAAAGACGCTAAATCATTTTTAGGTGATGAATATAAATTGAATGATGAGCTGATCACTCTTTGTTTAAGACCAAGATCAGAAAGACAAGTTCAAATATCTTTAGATGAATCAAGTGAAAGAACACTTGTATGTGCTTCAAATTTTGAGCTTGTGGGTAAAAGGTTAGTAGATCTTCAGAAGACCTTACTTATTTTGGAATTACAACTAGAAGATAAACAAGGTAATATAAATGGATTAAATATTGACAGGCTTGAAGAAAAAATCCAAACAATAATGTTCTCAAGTTATGTAAAGAAAAAGTTTATCAAAAGAACCATATTGCCAAAGATAATTACAGCTCATCAAGGTGCTTTAATGAAACAGAGAAGAGCTTTAGCTCTTAGTTCCCTTTATACAATGATTGGATGTATATCATTTAGTAAAGGTGAGAGAAAAGCTATAAAATTCATCAAAGATAAAGTACTACGCGGTGATGATGGTATTATGCAATTATCAATTAATGAAATTAACAAATGATGCTTACGAATAATGAAAAAAAAACATATTAATTATTTAAAATATAGACATAAAATGTATGACCTGTATATTAAGAAAATTATAAATTGTAGTGATCTACTTCACAAGTATAAACTTGCACAGAAAACAATATCCCTCTTAATCTTTTCTTGGGCAGTACTCATTTTAGAATGTAAGGAAGAATCACCAATAATTAAAGCTGCAGATTTAACTTCTCTACAAACTTCATCTAATCTTGTGATGACTCTAACAATTGTACCTTCAGCTTCAACACTTAATTCCATAATTTCTTTGAAACTCATACCTCTAGCCCATTCATAAACAACATTGACTAAAGAAAATCTCTTTCTTTCCAAAAATTCTTGTTCTTCTGATGTTAAAGTGACTTGATGTTTACTATAGACATCCAAAACATTTTGCATGATATCTGAAATACGTTGTTTACCCTTCTCTAATCTTGGTGTAATCTTTGCATCTTCTTCTTCATTAATTTTACCTTCATAAACAAACGCTGATAATAAGGCAACAATTTCTTCAGGTTCAAAATCACCTAAAAAGTTGTCAAGAACTAGTTCTGTAACGACTAATTCCCAACCACTATTAACTTCACAGGCAACTCTACCTTTCATAACAACATTTAAATTATGATCAACGAATCCTAATTCTTTCAAAACTTCTAATCTCTGTTCATAGTCAGGTAGTAATTCAAGATTTTCATCTGATAACATAGCTTTCAATGAATCAATTTCTTGTGAGATTTGGTATTTCTCATGAATTTTATTGAATTTTTTTGTAAAATTTGGATCTTCAATAACAGGGTTCTGAGCGATAACTTGAATAATATCTTCCCTTTCTTTGACCAATTCGTGTAATTTCAGAGTTGCAAACTTGTTCCAATCAATTTCACCTAATTTATGTTGGAATCTCAATAATAATTGAACATTATCGGCCAGAACACCAATTTGTTCTTGATTATTTTTCAACACTTCATTTAAACTTGCATTAACACTCAATCTTGTTAAGAGCTCAATATCATTTATAGACACATCACGGACATGAAGACCTCCATGATATTGAATTTTTGTGAAATGTTTTCTAATAAATCCTTGAATTTCTGTGATATATGGTAATCCATTTGGTTTCTCATCTTCGACAGACCCCATTTTGAAACACAAAGTTGAAAATGTTGGAACCCCTGATATGTTACTTTGCTTCAAAATAATACCAGCTCTTGACAAACCTTTACCATCTTTGAAAATGATCCATCTACCAACTCTAAACTGTTTGGATAAAAGTGCATTATTCAAAGCTTCATTCATAATTTGAGATGTCAATTGTTTATATCTAATCATAGCACCATGAGCTTTTTGAATATCTGAATCTGGATCAAGATCAGCTGGATCAAGTTCTAAATCTTCAAATTTGGATTCAAGCTCCACAACTTTCTTTTGATGTTCTGGTAGTAACGTTTGGGATGCATTTTCACTGAAGGAATGTTTAATCATTTCTTCAACTCTTAAAGCTTCAATTCTTAACAAATTCAAAATCATATTATATGTCAATCTAAATTGTGATACTAATTTTGTTGGGACACCTAATGTAACATCTTTGAATTGTAATGAACTTAATGGCTCGTTGTAAGCCATTGTAATAACAGTACCAGTTTTATCCAAACCTCTACGACCAGCTCTACCTGACATTTGTGTAAATTCACCTGGTAATAAATCTCTGAAACCCGTACCATCATGTTTTCTCAATTCACTGAAAACAACAGTTCTTGTTGGTAAATTCAAACCCATAGCAAAAGTTTCAGTTGCAAATAATACCTTGATCAAAGTTTTAGAAAATAAAATTTCAATAACTTCCTTAACAATTGGTAGTAAACCACCATGATGGACTGCAATACCTCTACTCAACATTTCTCTAATGGCTATGATTTGAGGTAATTCACGATCTTCTTTTTTCAATCTTGCAACTGCTTTATCAATAAACATATGAATTTGAGATTTCTCCTTTGCATTACAGAAATCAATACTAGTCAATGTATTTGCGTATTCTTCACATCTCTTCTTGGAGAAAACGAAAACAACAGCAGGAAGTAAATTATTACTATTCAAGTATTGAACAAGCTCAATCCAAGTATTTTTGTTTGGACGATCAACTTGAAATCTCTTAAAGTTATTACCATTATTCGAGTTACCAAATCCACCACGTCCACCACCACGTCCACCGCCGCTGCCTCTTTGTCCACCGCCTCTTTGGCCTCCACCTCTTTGTCCACCACGTCCTGGACCTCCTCTACCTGTATTACCTCCACCACGACCATTTGAAACAGTCCCAGGCTTTGGACCCTGTAAAAGTTCTTTGTGTTCATTGAAGTTCTTTTCAATGAATTTCTTTTCTGCATCAATAACTTTGAATAACTTCTTCTTGGCCCAAATATTAATTTCTAAAGGCACTGGTCTCTTTGGTGTAGAAATAACATATATATCCTTATGCTTAGTTCTACCAATCCAATTAGCAAACTCAAATGTATTTGGGACAGTAGCTGATAACAAAATAAACTTGATATGATCAGGTAACATAATAATAACTTCCTCCCAAACAACACCTCTATCTATATCATTAACATAATGAACTTCATCAAAAATAACAAATTCAACATCTCTGATCAAATCAGCCCCACGATACAACATTGATCTTAAAATTTCAGTAGTCATAATTAAACAATTAGCTTCTGGATTAATTTGAACATCACCAGTAATTAAACCAACATCTGCATCTGGGAAATCATGTTTGAAATCTCTAAACTTTTGATTTGATAAAGCTTTAATAGGCGATGTATAAATAGCTTTTGTCATATTTCTGTTAGCCATTGCAATTGCATATTCTGCAACAACAGTTTTACCGGCAGATGTATGCGCAGCAACGAAAACCGAATCACCTTGTTCTAAATGATAAACAGCTTCCTGTTGGAAAGTATCCAATTCAAAGGGCCATTCTCTAGCCATATTTGGAATGAGTTCATGGAAATTTTCAATTTTATGATTCAAATGAACAACGTGTGCCCAATCTTTACGTTTTATAGTAGTTGTGTCTTTTGCTGCTATAGTTCGACCAAAATTGATATCGACTGGTAATAACTCATCGATTTCTTTCATAAGTCCCGAATCAGCTGTTGATTTATTCCTGGATTCTTTTGAAGCAATCTCATCAACACTTTGGATAAGGTCATCACCATCCTCTAAATTTATGTTCTGATTTTCGTTCTCATCTCCTTCATCATCCACAATATTATCCAATTCTTTGACGGCTGCAACTGAGTTTTGTCCACCAATATTTAAGCCTCTAGAAAGACCTTGTGGAATATCGAACAATCCATCACCATCTCTATGAAGTAATGATGTAATATCAGTGGATTTAGCTTTTGTAGTGATACCACCTGGTTGGAAAGGTAAATAACTTGTGCTACCTTTAAGCGCAGATTCCTTGGATGTGAATTTTCTATTCAATGACAATGAAGAGGCAGCATTCGATTGTTGTAGTTCAACAGCATCAACTTCCTCTTTGTAAGTATAAACTTGACCTTTGATACCTCTTCTTTTTAATCTATAGCCCGAACGTGATATACTATTTGGCACTTTCAACAATGAATCATATAGGTCTTTTGGATCTTTCTCGGGGACATGTTGGATTACATCAAGTAGATCCCATGGAAGTGAAGAAGATGGGTTTAGATATTTAGACTTCAATGCCTCGTTTGAATTAGAAACATCTGCTTTTTCCCAGGTTGTCTTTGTTGTTGGTTCTAAAGGATCATTATTTTCTGACAACTGTAGCTCGTTCAACAAATTGCTGATATCATCATCAAATTGATCTTCTATCATACTCATTGAAGTTGAAATATCCAATACGCTTCAATGGTCTGTAATAACTCAATTGATAATTAATACCGTTCTACATAATATAACTAATTTGCCTTCTGGGTTTGTTGACTTGAATTTTTTATAAGCGCAAGATGAAAAAGTTCGCGCCATAATAAAAAATGAGATCACTGAAATGCTATAGTATCTACAAAAACGACATCTGAAAGGGCAAAAAGCATCCGGTGCATTATTAGTGTACTGAGTATGTGTAAGCTATTATACAAGGTCATAAAATGGTCAAATTTACATAGGTTTCAGCAGCAAATATCTTTTTGTTCCTATCAAAACAAGTCTTTTTTAAAACTTGATATAAGGTTTTGAATTTTTTTTGTTTGATTCAATTGTTTATAATCTTTTGCGTCATCATTAATCATCAAATAGTTGGTGGTTGGTTGAGCTATATTTAATCTTGAATTTATTCTTCTTCTGAACTTTCAGAGCTGACATCTTCATCTGAATCTTCTTCTGAATCATTAGCAACACTAGTATTAGTTTGATCCAACAATTCAATTTTCTTTTTCAAATTTTCAATTTGTTTGGATTGTTCAGCTTCTGACAAATTTCTACCCTTCTTTGATTTCTTGCTAGTAGGACGACGAGGAGCAGATCCGTTAGATGAACTTGAGCTTTTCTTCTTAACAACAAAAGTGTAAAGTTTGACAAGTGTAGCATTGTCCAGTTGATCCATATCCAATTCAATTTCTTCACCATTAGAACTGTTTATATTCAGAGCTTCACCTATAATAGATAAAACTTGGTTCAGCTTCCTTTCGGATAATTCACCCATCTTCTCACTCAATTCCTTCTTCATTTCATAAGTAACAGTGAATGATGCATCTGATGTGCGTCTTCTTCTTTTCTTTGGTTTAGAACTCTTCTTCTTCTTACTTCTTTCTCTTCTTATTTTTTCGAGTTCTTCCTTTTTCAGTTTAGCTAATTGTAACTTCATAGTTTCTAATTGTTGTTCCAAAAATTGAATAGCTGGATTAGTGATTGCAGATTCATCAATTTCTTCTTCTTCTGATTCTTCTTCTTCTTCATCATCAGATTGTTGAGGGGTAGCTGGGGTAACTGGTCTATCGACCCATCTTTTATCAAAAACAGCTTCTAATCTATGACCCATCATATTAACTGCTGTTCCTTCTGGATTGAAACTGTAACAATTTTGAAAAATTAAACGAATATCACGTTCAAATTCATCTGCATTCTCATAAATGTTATTATTCAATTTATTTTGGACTGTAGATAAATCCATTGGCTCTGAAACATAGTCAAAATATGTAGGGCAGTTCAGAGCAACAGGGTCAACTGGTTCAAGGAAAGGGTAATTAAAAGATTCATATTTCTTAGAGGTTAACTCTTTTAAAACTTGTTGAGAAAATCTTAATTCTGGAACAAATTTTTTCTTTCTTGGTCTGATATCGTATGGCATATCTTTTGGTTTTGGAGGATGAATTTCTCTTTTAGGTCTACCGCCATTAGCTGTGGAATCTCTTCTGATAGTTGGAACACCAGAAGCATTTAATTCACTTGGTGTTGAACTTTGTTTTCTTCTTCCACTTGCAGTAGTTTTAGTGGCAGTTGGGGGTAAATCCTTTGGTGGTGCATTCAACATATGTTTTTCAAAACTAGCTTGGATATTTCTACTCATTTGAGCAATACCTGATTCAGCACCATTAAAACGAACACAATTATCAACCATCAAATTGAAATCATCTATAAATTCTTGTAACTCAGCATAAGCATTTGCATTCAATTTTCTCTCTATTGTTGAAAGATCCATTGGTCTTGTAATGAAATTATAGTAAAGAGGAATTTGCAACTTGACAGTATCGACTGGATGTAAAAATGGACCAGCATCTTTCATTCTCTTTATAATCTTTAATGTTTTGTTGGCAAACCCAGCTTGATGTTTTGGCAATGGTTTTTCAGGTAAATTGTTCATATCTGGTTCAGCTGGTGGTTTTGGAGCAGGAGTCATATTACTAGTATCCACTATGGCTGGTTTTGGAGCTTCTTGAGAGTCGGCTTCTTTCTTAGGTTCAAGTTTGTCATCTTGTGATTGTTCTTGTGCTTGAGTATCTTGTGCTTTGGATTCGTTTGATGTTTCAGTTGCATTGGTGGCTTCAGATGTAGTACCATTTGGTTTCTCCCCGTCCTGTGGTTCTTCTTCTGTTTTCAATTTTTTGGTTGAAACATTAGATTCATCATCTTTTGAATCCAGGTCATGTTTTGATGAGACTGTACTAACAGCAGATTCTGATTGAGGTCTAGCATCTGTTTCTTCTTCAACTGGTTTTGGTGATGGAATTGGAGGTGACAAAGGTTTGTTATCTTCTGGTTTGGATTGAGCATTTGCTTCAGTATCCTTAGATATTTGAACGTTATCCGAGTGCAAATCACTGTCACTCTTCAAATTTGTAGGGGTTTGTATTGGGGTAGAAACTGAGTCATTTATTTCTGGCATCTTACACTCATATGGGGTACGTGAGCTTCAATTTATTTTTCAGTGGCAACAAATTACAAATCTATAATCTGAATGATACAAAACAAATGTTACTTCTTGAAGTGATGAAGTAGTGTCTGAACCAATTTTCCAATGTTTTGTTTTCCCAAGAAAAAGAAATGAACAAACTCCAAATTTTTTTTTTTAAATTTTCTCACGAAATTTTCACTTTTCAGAAAAAAACGGATTTTGCGATTCTTAAATAATCTGTGAATTTTTGCCAGAATTTCCTTCGCACAGAAACTGACAAATTATCGCCGTTCTGAAATTTACACTCGCCAGACAACGTTTACGCTGGAACTCAAGGGTCAATTTACACTCAGGGGTAAGCCATCTCTGCCTAATCTAATGCATTTCTAGTGGCAAAATTTCATAAAAGTCCACAAAAACAGCAAAACACAAAACACAAAACAAAAGCTACAACTCTCTGAAAGCAACCCAATCATTAAATGACAAGGATTCTGTAAAGACAAGCACTGAACCAAGGATCATAACTTGAGATTTTTCCCACTTTTGTACTTTTTTGGAATAACCGTATCCATTTGTTTAAAATGTTCAGTGAAGTTGGTGTTTTCCTATCTTGAAGAAGTTCATGTTGATGTTTTTTTCTTTCAAGTTTTTTTCAAGAACACGTCTCACTTTCTTTGAAAATATCTGAAAATTCTCGCGATTCGTTCCGTATCCGTGGTGATTTTTTGCCCTTTTTCACTTCTCACTTACCCTTTTGGGACTGATAAATTAATAAAAGATTGCATTTTTGGTGTTGCAATTTGCAAAACGCGTCAATCAATAATATTGATCAACTTAAAGAGATAAATAGGAGATTAGATGAGGCGATCGAGAAGATTCAAGTTTCAACATAGATAGTAAAATACAATGCACGAGAAAGGTTGTAAAATTGAAACAACATAATTTGATTTATTCAAATAATATAGAACATGTGCACCTGAAAATTAGGACGTTGTTTGGTTGTTTGGCTTCTATACATATCTTAGATATACATAATATTACTTTCAAGTTTTTACGCGTTTCAGAATATCTATCTCAACGATATCCATCATTTAATTAGTTAATATGTATATTTACACGAAACACTAAACAGTTCTTTTAAAACAGCTCTTGTAAAACAAACTAACATTGAAGAAAACAATATAATACAATTTCCACATATAAGTAACTTAAAAAAATCAACAAAACCAAAAACAAATCTGAAAATTTAACATAAAAGACAAATCAACTTTAAAATTCTTCTCAATAAAACTAACATCACACCCATCTTATAAATGAATAGTCAATAAATCATTGGTACTGAACTGTTTATTACACGAAGGACATTTTCTCATTCTAGCAGCAATTCTTTCTTTTGCACATTCTTCACAGAAAACATGTCCACATACTTTGATAGCTGTGTTTTTCCAATTTTTAGAACATAATGAACAATAGATCAATGATCTAAAACTATCAGCCTCGTTTTGATCTTCTAAAACACCTGTTGATTTGAATCTATTGATCAATTTGTCTTGGGTTTTGACATTGGATTCTAATTTTGAAACTTTAATTGAATATTCAGATTTCAATTTTAATAGTTCATCATTTTTACCCTTAAAATCATCTAACAATGTTTGGATTTCTTTATTACGATTTAATTCAAATTTGTAATTTTTTTCTAATTCACTAATTTGTTGAACATATCTATCAACTTCATGACCTCTAAAAAATTCAACTTTCTTCAAATTCTTTAATTGTTTATCCAAATTTTCAAATCTTGAAGTCGATAAGGCTTCTGAATCTTTTAAATTTTGAATCAATTCGTTCAATTTACCATTTTGTGCCTTTAAAGTTTTATTTTCTTGTAGTATAGAATCTTTTGATCTCATTGCTGCAAAATATTTTTGATCAGCTTTAGTTTTTTCAATTTTTAACTTATTGATAACAGTTTCTGAGTCAACTGATGAATTCAATTTTTTTATATTGGTATTTTGAAGGTTTTTGAATGCTTTTTCGAACTCTTTCAACTCATTTGTTAAAATTGTGTTATTCTTCTTTAAAGTTTCAACATCATTTATATCACTACCTCCAATCTTATCTTCTAATTTCTTTTCAAGTGAAATCGTTTCTATTTGTTCCTTTTGTGCTTCAATCAAAGCTTGCAATTGTTTTGTAACTTCTAATCCACTCTTCTCGGCCTCTAAAACACTAATTTTAGATAATAGTTCATCTCTTGCTGTTCTAATACGAATCAAATCAAATTCTAATTTACCGAAGTTTGATTCTAATGATTGTTTTTCAACTTCAAATTTTGAGTTTAATAAATCGTTATCACTCGACTTTTCTGATTCTAAAGCATTATATCTTTCTAATAATGAGTCATGTTTTTGAATGATTTCTTTGTATTTTATATTTAAATCTTTATGTTCATTAGTTAAATCTTCAAATTTGGCTACGTCAACGGTTGATTGACTTTCTATTGATGTTTGATTTTTAGTAGTAGCTTCCACAAGTTTAGAATTTAGAGATTTGTTCAATTCTAAGTTTTCATCGATATTTTTTTGTTGTGCTTCAATTGTAGCTTTAAACTCATCAACTTGTTTCTTTAAATATTCCACCTCATCACTGTTTACAGTATTGTTGATACCGTTGCTATTGAGTTGTGACTCGGCTTGATCTTTGGGTATTGAAATTTCAAGTTGTTCTGCTTTTGGTGTATCTGCACGGCTGACGTCTTCACTCTTCGTGCCATTTGCTCTTTTCAAAGTTATGCTGTTTAATCTATCTGAAGTCTTGACTAAATTTTGAAAATCAATGGTTAAATTATCAAAATTCTTTTTCAATAACGAATACTCATTTGTTATTTTTTGATTTTTAATTTTCAAATCATGATATTTACTGTTGATTGTATTTAAGTTTTCCTTAATCTCATCAGGAATAGCACCACTGTTTTGTATTATTTTATTTATTAGATCTGATAATTGAGTCTTCTTTTGATTTAACGATTCTATAAATTCATTGTCCTTTATATCATTAGGAGAATCTGTGAACAAAATCTTGTACTCGCTTTTGGACTCTAGCTCCTTTAAAGGTACCACAGATGTGATGAACTCTATGAATTGATCAATCCAGTTACTCAAAACCAGAAGTTTGGAATTTGTAGATTTATTTTGTTCATCAAGTGTTTGCATCTGCTTATGAACTTGATTGACTTTACTTCTATAGAGATTCATCTGTCTAAAGATGGCCTCCTTTTGGAAATAAACCACATCTTCTTGTGTTAATGGACCATCTTCACTTATTTCATCTACTTTTCTTCTTTTTTGAGTTTGGTCAGAGCCATTAACAACGTCATTCAATTCTCTTTTCTCACTCATCTTTGTATGTATTGTATGTATTTGAATAGATTTAAAGTTGATTGTTAAATAATAAAGCACCTAAAACTTATATTTATGGCACAATATTCATTGATCTGATGCCTATTCTCAAGTCTTCTGACTTATTTATTAACCTATCACCTTTAACAAACTCAGAAAAATTAAGTATCCAAACCAACCACTTTGAATAATCCTAACGAGTTAGCGCCAAACTTCAACGTATATGATTCAATAGAGTAAACAGCGTCTATATGGTTGTGACTGTTGACTTTAATCGATGTTTTTAATGGCAAATCTGTATGTTTTTTAAAAGTGTACGTTAATTGTTTTTGTTAATAACTGTTAACTACCGTTTTCACCAACTTTTTTTTTGTTTTTTTGGTGAACTAAAATTCGCGATATTTTATTCTGGATTCGCAGGAAACCTGTTGTCAGGGTAAAGTGCCAATTTCGCGCGCGCATTTAAATTTTGGAGTTATCGCGAATTTGTGAAGTACTATTAATCTCATTAACCAATTTAACCGAAGTATAATTACTTTCATAACATGTTATTGTTGAAGTCCTTTAAGTGCCTTGTAATACCAAATCACTACACAACAAACGATTTGGTCATTGGTCTCACCAAGGCCCATACGTATAAATATCATGAAATCATGAACTATATTCAATTCATATTTAACCCACCGCGTTGTTTGAAAGTCTTTGAATTACTTTGAAGTACCAACTACAGCAGCTCCATAGCTTAATATTATATTAACTTAAGAAGATCATGAATCATGAAGGAGACTTTACTCGCTGTTGGGTAGTGAAATTAATTGATGGTGAGTCTGGCTTGATGTTATATTGTTAATGCTTCTTGATCTTACCCAGCTTTAGCTGTTGCAGCGTTGCAACTTTGCATGAGCGTATATTAATTTAGCAACATTCCCTACAATCGCACAATCTTTAAATAAACGTCATCTACAGCTACTAGGGATGGGCATTGGTTACGACTCGAATCTTTAGATCGTTAACGATATTGCAGGGCGGTTGTAATATAACTTATAAGCTATCTATATATATATATACGTATCACGGATATCAAGCTGTGTTGAGGTAGAACCAGTACTAAATATATATGGATCGGAAGTACTAATTTACTATTAGTTATAGCTACTTGGTCATCACACTAATTAATGGCTGTAGATCATATAATTGATAATCAATAACAACGATTTACTTAATTATTAATTAAGCTTACATTAATTAACCGGCCGGATTAAATTCACATGTACTAACTATATAGCGACCGTAGTACAATGATATACTATTGAATACATATATGAATATAACTTTTAATACCTGAACCAAAGAAGGATATTGACGTCGTTCAATTTATAAGCTAGGCATTTAAAAAAGCGACAACGTCCAACAAATAACGAGTTACTCTCAAGACTTGACACCACGCCTCAACTTATAAGCAGGAGATTATAGACGCAGAACCATACAATGCATGAGTAATTTATAGATCATAGTTCATAGCCTTATTCTACATCTTGTGTACGTATATAGAATTCATAACTCTGGTTGAAGCAGTGCTGCTTTTAGTAGGTGGCTTGAGTTTTACTTGAGGTTAAAGTTGGACTAGCTGCTGAACTCTATACTTGAGCCTTGTAGGATCACTAAAATTGGAATTAGGTACATCTTGGAAGTTGGAAGTACTTGGGGGCTTTCTAAAAGAGTAACTAGTCTGAACATTTTAGGTAATGTTTAGGACGTAGTACGTAAAGTACTATAAGCAGGCCTGGGTCACCAGACCGTTATAACTTATGAAAGAGTAATCAACTCATCATGCCTTGAAAGTTGAGAAACCAAAATTAGTCGATTGAAATCCAACTTCAAAGCACAGATATCATTTAACCACTTCACTGAATTGCACAGTGCACTGTTCTGCAAAATCCTAATTTGGACAGTTTAGAGATTCCATCCGATGTAATCAATTAACTGAAGTAGGATCAGAGACCAATTGTGGACCGTGGTCAGAAGTCAGAGTGTCAAAGCTGAGACAAACAACTGGGATCTGGGCTATCGATTAAACATCCGTGAATTCACGTCGTCCTTTAATAAGTCTTTACTAGTTACTAGTTGGTCAATGGTGATGTATACCAAGCAAATAATTTATAGTGTATTGAACGAAATTCGTTTAAACCTTTGAGTCTAGTTCTATTAGTACTCTTGAGTTCATGGGTACTGTCACCTAAAAAAGAAGTACCAAGTACCAAGAATGTAATCAGGTTTCCTGTATTTTCATTTGATGTTTTCGTTAGCTAAAATATACTCAGCTCATTATAATTTGTAACGTCAGACTAGAAATATAAATTTTATCATGGAACAGAACCGAGAATATTTTGCGCTAAAATCTGTGCCTTACCGCTCTAATCTATCAAAAAGACTAAAATTTTCGCAACTTTTTGTATATAATTTAGGCATGAAGAAGCAGTCAAAGCATCAACTTACGCCCGTTGAAATGTGCAAATTTCCGTTCTCGGTAATCCCAGACTATAATTTCGTAGCAAGTTGCAACAAAAGAAAGTTTGGCGTTCCAATGCATTTGTTTTGAGCTCAAAATTTAAAAAACTACACATGATGAGTGAAGAGTAAAATTGAAATAAGTGTGTTTTTCTTTTCAGATATAAAGAGGCTTATTCAAATACGTAGTACCCCATATACAAAAGCAGATAAGAAATAACTATTGAACCTTTGAAGTTTAGAGAATAACGTAATCCTGATAGAGGGTAAAATAAGCGTTGTATTTTTGGTTTGTTCTTTCGCATTCTTCATTTTCGCCAATCACCTTTGCGCACTTTCTTAATCTGGCACTTCGCTGTTGATCGGTGCGTCACTCTCCTGTAAAGAGTGTCTGGACTGGCTACAAAACGAGACCTTCAGTATAAACAAATTCCACTGGGAAAGGAAAATCTCAGTCGTATTCCTATCATCATAAATCTTATTATTAGAATACATTTCAATATTTTATTTATCTTCATACAACAATTAGAATCTTCATCAAAAGAGCCCCAAGTAGGTGCCAGCCCTCATAGAACTTCATCAAATAATCTTAGAAGGTTGTCCTATCTCATCCGCTCTCTCAAGTTTAGTCTCATTTCCAAAAATCCAATCTGTTACACACTGATAGCTTCAAACAGGGACTTTGTTTAATAACAGGAATTCAGGGATATATCAACAATTCAAATTACCTCAAGCAAAAGACTCCAACTATATTTACATTCGCTATACACTCACATCATAATTTCCACAACCAACCGCTGTGTTTAATATCACTTGAAACAGGTCACATTCAGTTGTTTTCATTTCACTCTTTCGCTTAAATTTTTTCGATTTTGGGGAATTCTATTGGTATTAAATAGTGAAGTATCAACATTAAAAGGACTTCATATCAAGCTAATCATGGCTGAAGTTTCGCCCTTTATGTTTGAGGATCTTCAAAAACCCCAGTTTGCATATACAAGAAGTCATAGTAGCTCAAATGGTTCAAGTTCAGATAATTTACCTAATACCCTCAATACAAAAAAGATTACAAATTTACCATCAACTTTAGAAGCAAACCTCAAGAAACTTCAAACCAGAAACATAGAGCTTTACACAAGAAAAGCAACTGCTTTATACAATGAGTACAAACAACTTCATCATACATGGAATAAATTTAATCATAAATCAACCTCAACCAGCAAGACAAATCATTTAAGATTATCATTATTGGCATTTCTCAGGTTAAATCAAGATGATTCATTCATTGAATCCATAGATGAAAATGATCAAGAACTCAAGAAATATCAACTAAAGGTTTGTAAAATTGCTTCAAAGGTACTTAGTCTTTGGTGGAATACTCTAGTGGAAGATTTACAAGCCAATGGTAGTAAATTTTCAACAATTGATAGAAGTGCTTATCTTGAATGTATAAGTCGGATAATATCAAGAAAAGAATGGAATGCTGTTAAATCGCAATCAACCTTATACTCATCTGGTCTAGTGGCCACATTGGACTACTGTTTTAATAAACTACTGGTGATGAAAAATATATCATTATCAGTTAATGCATTCATTGGGAAAGTATTTGCTTATGGGTTTCTAAATTTAGAGAACTTTGGTCATATGTTATTATTCTTATTATTTGTGAAAAATTTCACAATTAAACAAATCATAGAGAATAATCCAGCTTTAGAAAAACTTGCTGGTGATGAACAACTATTAAAAAAATTTCATCCGTCTTTATCAAACCTAGTGAGTTTCAAAGGTGATTTTACAGAATTTTTGTTCATTGAAAGTGCAAATCAGCATAAATTATTAGCATTGAACTGTATGAAGCCTCCAAAGACACAATATATTGAAGATCTCCGTATTGACTTAAAAGACAACAATTGGGTTAAGAAATGGGCAGGTTTTGATAGTGATATCTTTTGCTCATTCTTAAGACACTATTTGGCATTATCAGTTGATGTTTTGGACCCATTCGTCTTGGACTATAATGAGCTATTTAAAATACCAGGCTTCACTATAATTTATGGTCATTTAGTGGAAATACTGGAATCGAACATTATGATGATTAAGAAATTCAAAACAACTCAAGCTAAAGAAACTAATTTCAATAGTAACTATTCTACAAGTTCTGCTCTGAAGAACTTTAGCATTTATTTGCAAAAATTACCAATCATTAAAGTACTCAAAGTCATAAGGGATATCATTTATGATGGTGATGAACGTAAAAGTTCAATGGTTGTTTCTATTTTTGAAAGAATTTTGATATCTAAAGCCAAGCGTGTCCAAGCTTATAGCTCAGTTACATGTGAAGCCATTTATACAATATTCATGGAATTATTACTACATTTACAAAATGATCAATATTGCTTCACTAGGAACTTGAACTTGAGCTTTTGGGTTACTGGTTTGTTGAAAATGTTGGATACTGATAATATGATTTGCCAGACAAGAGCATTATCAATGCTATTTAACATTTGGAATCTTATACCAAGTGACTTCTTTATTAAACCAAGCAACAACTACGGATTTGATTCTTCCTTTTGGAACAAAGCTCCAAAAAATTCATTGATTTTCAACTTGTCAAATTATTTACTTTCAAACGAAGTTTGGGAAAAGTTTTTTACACATTGGCATCCATTAGTTCGTCAATTCTACCAAAGATTATTGATTTTCAAAATTATTGGTAACTCAAATGATAATTACTCTAATTACTTGAATTTTAAAAAGATTTTAAAATCAAATTTGTCTTCAACTTTTCAAATATTCAAAGAGGAAGTATCAACAGATTCTATCACTCCAATAATGAATATGGATTTAATGCCAGCAAATCCTATGCTTAATAGGAAATTAATTGTATCACCCATGGAATCATTTCAATCATCAATGAATATCCTAGATAACTTTGATTCTGTTCAATTCTTGCAAAATGGTGCTGGAACATCAACAAGAAGTGCAACAAGCTCAGCTATGATTATTGATACAAATAAGAAAATTTATGCTTATGATATTTTCGATGAAGCTATCTATTCAAGTTCAATTGGGTTTAATACAAGTAAATCATCAACCAATTTACATTCAACAGGCCAAAGTACAAGAAAAAACTCACCAACAAGCTCCCCATCAATGACCAGATCATCTTCTGCAACTACATTGGGTAGAGTGCCAATATTAGGAAGTGCTCTGAGTTTTTTCAAGAAGGTCAATCAATCACAGCCAACTATTAAAGTTAACTCAAGAAATTCATATTCACCTTCACCAACCTCATCCCCACAACAAGCGTTGAGTCCTCCATATCAAGGTCCAGAAGATCAATCCATTTTTAGAGCTCGTACAAACTCAAATGTTTTAAATCCTGTTCCATCAGTTTCGTCTTCAAGCTCCAGGTCACCAAGTTTCAAAGCTCCAAATTCGATTTTATCGTCACCATCTTCATCATTATCAGATATATCTGACGAAGATAACAATTATTCTTTACAAAAGCATAGACAAGTCTCATCAAATACATTAAGCTCTACAGCTTCAAGTAGATTAAGTGTTTTATCTTCAGCAAATTCAATCAATTCATCATCTCCAATGGAAGCATTACCAACACCACCAGAATTATTAAATAAAGTTCCAGAAATCAAGAAATTTAAATTTAGATTTCAACTAGTTGTTGCAAATGATCCATCTCAATTACAGTATAGAATTGTCAATGCTAGTAAAGGTGTTTCACCAAAAAAATTCTTCCTTTCAGAAGTTAATAAAGCAAGAATACCAAAAATGCCAACTATCCCATTTGAACAGAAAACAAACGAGCTTGGTTTAGTAACTGATGGTGCATTCTATAGTTTTAATGGTGATCGTGAATTTTCAAATGATTCAGATGATGAAGATGATCAATTAGTTGTTATTCCAAGAAATTCAATTTCCTCAAGAACTCAAGAAGATCAAAAACTTACTTTCAATAGCATCAAAAATCATTTATTATTAGGTAAATCATTGAATGAATGGGAGCTAATTGTTGAGGAATACGAGAAATATATCGGTTTAGTCAATGAAATCAACTCAATGTCAGATACACCAATTAGTGATGAATTTTTCCATGATCCAATGCTAATTGCAGATATTCCACCAACTTCAAAATCAGGTAATTATAGTACACTTGCATAATCCAACCCAACAATATTTTTTTATCTTAATAAGCGTCACAAAGGGGTGACTGCTGTAATTTTAATCATGACATATTATTGTTTTTTTTTTTTACGAATTTGTTATCTTTTCATACATTAAGTGCGCATAATATAGAGTTTTAAGTCATTATTTATTTATCAAATTGCTTCGTTATACATGTTTTGTTTTCTTTTTTGGCATTAATAAATTACGGTGTAGATGATGTCGTAGCGTTTTCACTCGAAACTTGAGAACTCTGTTCAAGAGGACCTTCACCACTACTTTCAGTACTTGTAACAGTTTCATGAACATCGACCCTAAAATCAATACCATTATTATTATCTCTTCCATATAGTTCCCCTTGACTACCTCTTCTCAATCTTATAGCATCATCTTTTGTACTTCGTTGGGCCAACGTTAGATCATCATCATCAATCATTTCAGTATTTTCTTGTTCATGATCCACAATTTCTTGAGCTTCTGATCTTAATTCCCTAACTAATATCAATAAACTAACAGTCAATACTAGGACATCAGATGATATTGTCCATAAGATAAAAACTCCTAATATGTAGCTTATAACCCTGTAGTGATACAGGTAGTATCTGATTCCCTTCCATGCACTTGAGATAATAATTTCAGATTCATTAGGATCAATGATGACATCTGGTCTATTGAATTCAACGACAATATTTATATTTTCAGTGCTTTTGAAAAGTTCTGAATTTTCTGAATTGATATAATTTTCGAGATTAATATCTTTCAATAAATCAACTTTTAATCTTGAATCATCTTTGCTATATTCAAAATCTGATATAACTGGTGGAACAAACCATTTCAAGACCGGAGGTATCAACGAATCAACCTTGTGGTTTATTGGTTGTTTCTCTTCACCACATTTCAAGATTATCGAATTCATACTGGAAACAAGCACATGTTGATTATGTAGTTGATGAATATTATTTGTGACAGGCCATAAATGGAATCTTTTTGAGATATAAGCTCTATTACCATAAGGACTCAATTGATTAACTAAATGATCTGTAACAATTGTTATTTTATACATTAATGGCTCATAACTATTTTGATTATTTTTGCAATATGGTTTAAACAATAATTGGAAATCATAATTCAAATCAAGTTCAAAATCATCCAATGGATAAGGAATGTTTGGATTTTGTTGATTCCCATAAACACTTTCAAGCTCTTTACTGATTATAATGAAAGGTGGTATATCTTTGAAATCATAATTTAATATATAATGTGAGAATGGTAGCCTTATTGTTGGAATTGGGATCATATAATTGTAGAAATAATTAAATGATAAGAAGGATAATGGGAATAACACACCAAATGATATGGATAAAACGGTGAGCACTATGAGCACCACCCGTAGCGTGATCACAGGAATTGTAATATCGAACTTCATTGTTAAATATTGAGTCAGTACTATGGATTGTTGTATGAGTTGATTGTGATGTTTTATATGGATTATGGGTTGTGTCATTTGCTCTTCAAGTCATCTTTTAATTTAGTTTTCAAACCGGCCACGCAAATTCGCTTATATAACTCTTCAACAATAAAACTGATTTTATTTAATAATCAAAATTCTTTTAAATTACTTTGCTTACTTTGTATTTTAGGTCGGCTATATTGACTGGTTTCCTTGGCTGATATGCTACTGGACCTTGATAAATATGCGCAGGCGATAAATATCGCTTAAATAAAGCTGATCTTCTAGTGTGTCTTATCTTAAATATTAGATTGATTTATTAAGATTTCTTGAATCATATCATCTATATATTGAACAAATATACCATGACCTAAAACCATCATCGAACTAACGTCCCACCTATAATCAAAAGGTTAACTGAATGTTAAATATAGAAGCTGGTTTACTAAATGTCAAAAATTCTGAGTTTATTATAATGATCAAGTATCTGCTCAATTTAAATTCATATTATATATATACTACCTCATATTTATATCTGGAGTACATCATATATATATATGTATAAAGAAACTAGTGTAACACTGCTTTTTTATGTCAAATTCTAATCAATCAATACTGTATTGATATAATAGCTTTTTTCGGCCGAGAAACAAAATTTTTAATTAATTACCAAAACTTTCAACCTTCAACAGTAACAAAATGATCTAATATAATGAAATTTAAGATTATGAAGCTTGCATATTGCCTCTAAACTGGACAGAAATTCCAGTATTTTAAACTTTAATTTTAATTCAATATTTAAATAATTCATTTCAGAATTTTAATTACTTAACAAATTTTTTAATTCACTTTCAAATCATTGAAACGGAAAATCTTCAAAATTTCAAGGTCGTTTTTAGAACTTCAAACCTATACCATATATTTACAAAAGAGAATTTTTAGTAAAGTATACTTTAAGTATTAAAACTACAAAACTTTAACTTATAATAAATTTTAAATTTAAGTTTTAACTAGTTTACCTTATATAAATTAATAATTAATCCGAATTCGGTAAAACTAGGTATATTTTTCCATTTTTCCGTAAAACCCCGGAAAACCTGATGAAATGTCACAATTTACAAGTTCAGTAATTAAAACATCATAAAGTTCCGGTGCTCATTAATATGTTAATCAAGGCTATATACATCTCAACTTGAAATTTTCTACTGCAATCATCTTTATCCTTAGAATAAAGTGAAACTTCATTACATATCGTATATGTATGATATAATAACTTATATTATATACATATTGATGCATTTTTAAACAAGGTAACTTCAATATGAAACAGCTTGTTAATAATCCCTGTTTGAGTCATTTATATTTTTATGTGGAGATATTTCATAATTTAATCATGATATGAAATGAGTATTGATATCGTAGTGATATTTTATGAACTTTTGACATGTGATGTTGTGATAAGTATATAGTTTCATTTGACGAGTCTTACAGGTGTTTCAGCTTATACCTATAATTTATATGAATTAGGTTAAAGTTTGTTCAACTTCGATTATGGATCGTGGGTTGATGGTTCATTAATTTCTTTTGTGTACCCATGAGTGAAGTTATAATTACAAATTATTTTCATATTAAACATAATTTTTTACTAAATTCAATCATAAATATCTTTCTAATGAAACTAAATTTCAAACTTTATAAACCCTGGTTTATTTTAGTTTTTTTTTAAACATCAAATAATTATTCAATCATATCACCATAAATATAAGTAAAATCTAAAATATAATTTATTCATTAATATTCAATAAAATGAATAAATCAAGTAGTTAAACTAAAACAAAAATATATAGAAAGAATCAAAAAGCAAACAATAAAAAACACACACACAACAAACACATACAAATAACCAATTGTTTAATGATGAAGGCTTGAAACAAACAAACAACAACACTGAAAAAAAAATTATATATATATATAAAAACACAAGATATTATTTAAAATTTAACTTGTCAATCTATAAATCTTGACTTTTTAAAAAATGAAATAATATAGAAATAGAAAAGTAAATAATAATGTTTAATAAAATGCAAACTCCTTATATGAATAAAAATTTTTGAACTAAAATAATAACGATAATAATAATAAAATTAATGAGTTGAATGACCACGATGATATTTTAAACCATTTAAGTTTTTATAACGTTTACCACAAACTTCACATCTATATGGTTTATCTTGTTCCATTCCATTACCATCATTTGGATCAATAACACTATAAGTACCATCTGGATTCATATGTAATTTTTGATTTTGATGACCATGTAATCTATGATATTTTAAACCATTTTGATTTTTATAGGTTTTATTACAACCAATAACTGGACAAGTAAATGGTTTTTCATTTCCTTGAGCAACATAAAGATTTCTTGAAGGATCATCTATATAACCTTCATCCATTTCTTCATCAAGATCCATTGCACTATCATCATTTGATAATGAAATTGGGAATGGAGCAGAATGTTGTGAAGATTGATTATTTAATTGTGAATTTGTTAAATTAACTTGTTGATTATTATGAAGATTTTGTTGTAATTGATAATTTGAATTCTGTTGATTTATATTTTGTAAATTATTTTGTTGAAGATTTGGATGATTATTATGGTTATTATTATTTTGATGTAAATTATTATTATTATTATGTTGTTGTTGAAGATGCTGTTGTTGAAGATGTTGATGATGATTTTGATGATGATTTAATGCATTTGTAGTAGAATTTTGAGGTTGTAATTGTTGACGTAAATGTTGTAAATTTTGTTGTTGTTGTTGGAAAGGGGATTGATTAAACCCAAAATTATTATTATTATTAGGGTTGTTATTGTTGTTATTATTATTATTTGGATCATGAACGTTATTTAAATTATTACCATTATTATTTGAATTTATGAAAACATCAGTTGTAGAAACAGTTTCAAAATTTTGAATTGGTTTTGGTTGATGAGTTGGAGGAGTTGGAGATATATGAGATTCTTCATAATGTTTTAATAAATCATGTAAAGTTGGTAATAATTGACCACAACAACTATAATCTTTACAATAATTAGCTTCTAAATCAGGTAAATAAGCCGATTGAATTGGAGGAGACATTGAAATTTGATTATTATTTGAATTTTGGTTAAAATTATTATGCATTAAAACTTCATCCTTTAACCAACTTCCTATCGTTACTGAACCCCAACTAATACCACCAACACCTTGAGAGTGAGCAATAGAATCTCTTCTGAAATTTTTATGATTATTATGATTATTAATGTTGATAGAATTTGTACTCAAATAATTATTATTATGCTGAGGTTGATGATGTTGTTGATGAGAATTTGATTGGGTAGATTGTACTTGTTGTTGATTATGCTGTTGATTTTGAAGTTGGTTTGATGATTGTTGATTAAGTTGATTTGATGATTGTTGATTTTGTTGGTTTGAAGTTGTATTGAAATTATTGTTAAACACAGAACCCGACCTTTGATAACCAGAAATATCTATAGGTTGAGACAGAGTTGAATTGGAGTTGGAGTTGGGTATACTGATGGCTCCTGGTTGATTGAAGAAGCTATTTGTATTCATGATTGTATTCTAACTTGTTGATGATGTTAATGATGATGATGTTGATGGACACAAACTGAAATTTATAATTTATAATTTATAATATAGATCTGGTTCAAAATGAAGATGGCAAAATTTAGACACAAAGCGCTCTGATTGACAAGGAATAATAAATGGATAACTTTGCCCCTATGATCTTGTTGGTGGCGTCAATGAACTATTTGAGTATAGTTGAATTCCAGGAATCGCTGGGATAAATTGAATTATAATTGATGGGAGCGATGCCAATATATTGGTAATGGGACCGTCAGTTGGTGGGATCTAGATTCTGCCTGCGAACGACGTAGCAAAGGGGACTGGACTAGCTGGGAGATCTAATGGGGAGCTCTATGAGGATGGGAGAGGACCTTGTTGAATTGAAACGCTTCTGGCGCTTTTGAATGGAACTCTTTTGTTTGAATTGTTGTTGGAATATCAGCTCCTTTAATTATTTCAAAGTATATCAAGTGATTGAATATTTCCACTTTGGATTCACTTTGGAATATTCGTCAGCGCTTTTTCCTTTTTATTTGAAATCCAGCACTGGCTCACCTCCGAGTTCCGACCACCATGCACAAATTGGACACAAATTTGGACACATTTTTAAAGAAGTCTCCATACTTAAGCTCAGAGATACGAGGTAAATGCACGTGATTTTTGTGCCCTCGGAATGTTCACAGTCCGAGGTCTTTGCGAATTGGGCCAATGAGAGAAGCGGAGTGTGCGTAGCACTGCGTAGTGCTGTGTTCCTTCTGCCGGTTGTGCTTGAATTGGGAGATTCCCACTGGCTTTCCCACTGGATTCCCATTGGAACTCCCGTTCATTCTGCCTAGAGTTCAAAACTAAGCTCTTTGGGATCCATCCTATAAAGATGTCGTAATATACAAGCATACATTGAGCTACAGATCAATTAATATTCAAACAATTTGAAATGTTTACTCTATATACGTAGACGTAGGATAAAGTAATATGTGTTATCAATCACATGTTATTCAAATTATATATCCTTGACGTTGCAATTCAGCTTGTTATCTCATATAATCAGTACAAAGTGTTAAATATAGATTGATCTGTATCAAAACAAATTGGGAACAAGAATATGATATATTGATATGTTATACTGATTCTGGTAGTGCTTTCAGCCTTCTATAGCTAAGCCTTCTATAGTTAAGCTCATATCTAACCCGTTGTCGATATACGATCTATTGTACATCGAATCTCGTTGCTATCTTCAGTGGCAGTATGACAATCATCAATTGTACTTGCAAGTTGCTAATAGATGTGCCTTATAAGTTTATAAATTAAGTATAATGACATATAAGTTGACTTGTAATTAAATCATATTAACATCAAAGTGATGTTATTACTTGTATAATATATATTCTATTGGTTGTTTAGTTGTTTAGACAATCTTTATGTCTCATATAACCGGATCCCCAGATATGATACTTTTAAAACCCGATATTGTTACATATGGAAGAATTGTTAAATGTGATTGATTATTCAAAATTATTGGAAATGTATAAATTAATCAGATAAGATTTATATCATGTTTCTACATATGCATCACAAGTGATAGATCCTTATCGTGTCTTCTATATATTATGAGCTTCTTAAATCTTTACAATCCATAGTAAAATGAAAATCTAGCCATACCAGCACCGGAATGTTGAATATATCTAGTACCTGTTCAGTGTCCACCACCAATTTAAAGATTATTCTCAAAAACTTGGTTTAAGTTAACATTCATTATCCTTCATGATGTATAGCCCTTTTGTTTCCAATACCCTTAATTAACTACAATGTCCAATATTCACGAGGAATTAATTGAAGAAATTTCCAATAATTATTACCCAATTCAAACGATATTTCAAAACCTCCTAAAACTTCACTTGGATTGAAAATATGAATTCTGGAAAATTCTTTTAAAAGTTCATTACTTGAATAATTATTATTATGATTATCATGATCAAGATCAATAGTGGAATAATTTTTAATCCTATGAAAAATTCACTAATTTTAACTTGATTAATAGGTTTTATAAGTGCCTTATTTATATTCTTTATTATATGATCATGATTGAGTAAAAGTAATCTTGTTATATAAGGAGTTGAAGTTCCTGATGAAGTTTTTGTTGAAGAAGAAGATGAAGTTGTTGATGATTTATTATCTATTGTAATCATATTGATGTCGTGTAAGATATGTATATAGATCTTGTATCAATGCAAGTTTCTATATAAGAACCAAAAGAGAACAAAAATCATAGATTGACAAAATTCAACATTTTCAAAAGTATTTAAACCATAATGTACATTCCTTCTCAATTAATTTCCAAATAAAATCAACTCAAATTGTTTCAAAATTTGAAAAGAATTTAGGAAAATTGAGTATTTTATATGAGACATTAAGACACTCCTCGGAATATTACATAATTCTTGAAAAGAATTCCGACCGATCTGTCAAAATTATACGTCAATTTTAAATTTCAGAAATGGATTGCTTTTAAAGGCAATGAAACGTATACTTGATCATTCGATAGTTACTTCAATTGATATAAATATTCAATTGTTCCCTGATTTTCAATAATAGATTAATACTATTATCTCAAAAAGGACAATAGAAACAACAACACACAATTCAAAATGGCATTATATTACAATTTAGTATTTGGTTTATTGGTTATTGAAATGGTTTTATTCACCACTTTATCATTACCATTGCCATCAAAAATTAGAAAACCAATTTTAAAAGCAATTTCTGCTCCATTCCAAAAAACTGAAGTTAACGTTGCAATAAAATGTGTATTAGTTTTCATTTTTGTTTTATTTGTTGATTCTGTTAATAGAGTTAATACAATTAATGAAGAATTAACTGGATTATCAACTTCACAAAATTTAGATCCAACAATTCATAATACTTATAACCCAATGGCTGATCGTTCTGAAATTCAAGCTAGAAGATTTTATGCTCAAAGAAATATGTATTTAACTGGATTTACATTATTTTTAACTTTAATCTTAACAAGAACTTATAGATTAGTTGCAGAATTATTAAGTTTAAAAGAAGAATATAGATCTGATCCTGATCATGTTTCTTCAAATGATGAAATTGCTCAATTGAAAATTAAAATTAAACAAAAAGATGAAGATTTAGAAATTTTAAAAAATCAAGCAAGAAGTTTAGCAAAAGAATATGATGATTTAGGATTTCAATCAACAGGATCATTTTCAAAACTTAAATCTGAAAAAAAATTAGATTTAACAAAAGATGAAGCTAAAACTACTGGTTCTAAAAAATCATCATCTCTTGATGAATAAAGTTTATGATTTCATTTTAGAAGTTCATGATTTAACTACAGAATTGTATTTTATATTAACAAGATTTTTCAATTTTTGAATTAACTATATAAGCTTTTTATAATATATAAACCCATTTCATTATAAAATCTAATTTGTAGCTGATTTTTCATATGAACTACTTTTATGTTTTGGAGTAAAATTAAAATTTTCTCCAGCTGGACCTAAAAACATTTCAGAAATTTTAATCCAATCTTTATAATCATTACTACCTAATAAAGTTTCTAATTCATTTCTACCTTTCCAAAATTCTGGTCTTTCATTTAATTTAACTGGATATTTTTCTAAAATTCCATATGGAATATATCTATGGAAAAATGATAAAAATTCACATAAAAATCTTCTTGATAATGCAATACCATATTCATCTGTACCCCAATGTTCCATTGCAAATTGTGCATATTTTTGAATAATTTCTAATCTTTCAGTTGCAGATTTATCTAAATATTGTTGAGATTCAATTTCTTCAAAAATCCATGGTTTAATTAATGCACCACGAGCAATCATAACTGAATCAATATATGGATTTTCAACAGCTTTATACCAATCATCAAAATTAAAACAATCACCATTACCAACAAAATTAATTCTTTGGAAATCTTTACGATCTTTATCATCTTCTAATTCTTGTTCAGTTTTTCTTAAAACTTTACCAACTTCACCAATATAATCCCAATTTGCTTCTCTTGTATAACGTTGTTGACGTGATCTACCATGTAATGTAACTGCAGCAGTTTGAGTTTCTTTAACAATTCTTTTAACTAAATTATGAGCAATTGGATGATTATCTTTAGTACCCATTCTAATTTTAACAGTTGTTGGAATTTCTCCAGAACAATAATTCATTGAATTTAAAATTCTTAAAAATTTTGCAGGTTGATCTAATAAACCTGAACCTGAACCTTGTCTATAAAGTAAATCAATTGGACAACCACTATTTAAATTCAATTCACTAACAGATGGACATAATTTACCAATGATTTCAGATGCTTTTGCAGCTTGCCATGGTTTTGCAGTTGCAATTTGAACACCAAATCCAGGATATTCAGTATTATGAGCTTTTGGTAATGCCCATTCTGAATTTGTACCTTGAATTAATGGTAATGTTAATGCCATTTCACTATATGTAACATCACAACCAAGTGTTTTCATTAATCTTCTATATGGTAAATTACCAACTGTAGTTAATGGTGATAAGATTTTTTTACCAACTAAATCAATTTTTTTCTTTTCACCTGCAAAAAATCTTGTTTCAACATAATCATTAATGTTTTCTTTTGTTTGTTCTTGAGCAGTTGTTTGTTCTGTTTCTGTTGTAGTTTCTGGTGTAACTTCTGTTTCTTCACCTTCATTATTTGTCTTTTTCTTTGCTAAATCTCTCTTTTTATTACCATCTTGAATTGAATCAATAATCTTGATAGCTTCAGTTGAGCTTGTAAAGATGAATTTTTTCTTTATTAATGATAATTTCTCATCATTTGTAATTTTATTTACTTCATAATTTTTATCCTTGGAATCTTCAAATTTAACAAGATCTTTAATTAATATTTTATTTTCTTCATCATAATGTGAATGTAAGAAACGACATTTGAAACCAGCAGGACAATAACCAATAGCATTGAACACAGGACAAACACCTTGAATATCTGGTCCTTTACTTTGTAAATAACTATCAATGTCATGTGAATTTCTACAATTTTCTGCACCAAATTTACAAACTTTATCCAAGTCCGGATCAACTAAAGATTGACATAATCTAACTTCTTCTTGATTTTGTTTAATTTCTCTATTTTTATTTTGACCTCTAGTTCTTTTACCCTTTTTACCTTTACCATTTTCACCACCATTTTCACCACCTGTATTTCTATCAGTGGAAGCTTCAGCAGAATCATCATCAATAGCTGCAATTTGTCTTGAATCTACAATGAATTCTTTCTTTATATGTGCGATACCTTTAGATCTTGGATCCTCAACTTTTGGTTCTTCAGTCTTGGTTCTTTTTTGATCAGGCTCAGAGCCATTTGCAACAGGGGATGCTGGTCTCTTGACTTCTTCTTCAGACATTTTATATGATTTGTAATTTATCTTTCCTTCCTTTATCTCATAGTAATAAAGTCCATATAAATTCGAGCTCATCGCTATTGAATATTTTTTTATCGGTTCGGGAAGCGAAAGAGCGTCTGAATTAGGAAAGTCAATACGCATTTTGAAAAAAAAAATATAAAGGTTTGATTTCTTATCTATAAAATAAACAAATTTGAACATTTTGAATCATATTCTGACTTTGTGAAGAAGATCAAGATAAAAAACCTGTGGGTATACGGGGAGATAGAATATAAAATATACCAAAAAGAACCATCAAGAAATACTCATTAAAAAATACTACCAAAAACTAGCACAAAACTGATTAGATCAGTATCATCAAATATAATGACCAAAATTGAACCAAGAAACCCAGAAAATAATCCAATAAGAATAATAGAAAGATGTCGTAAAGAAGGTCGTCCAGTGTTTATTGCAGGTCCTATGGTACGATACAGTAAATTACCATTTCGTTCATTAGTAAGAGAATATAATACAGATTTAGTTTATTCACCAATGATATTAGCAAGAGAATTTGTTCGTAATGAATTTGCAAGATTAAGTGATTTTACAACAAATAATTATGATACCCCATTGATAGTACAAGTGGGTACTAATAATGTTACTGATTTATTAAGATTTGTTGAAATGATTCATCCTTTTGTTGATGGTATTGGAATAAATTGTGGTTGTCCTATAAAAGAACAAATTAGAGAAGGTATTGGTGCAGCATTAATGAGTGAACCTGATTTAGTTAGTGATATGGTTTATGCTGTGAAACAAAAATATGGTGATAAAGTTTGTATTGAAACAAAGATTAGAATTCATCCAGATTTAAATGAAACTGTTAAATTTGTTCAAAAAGTTGAAAAAGCTGGTGTGGATTTTATAACTGTTCATGGACGTACCAAGACAACAAGATCTTCTCAACCAGCAAATTTTGAGGCCATAAAATTAATGAACGAATCAGTTTCAGTACCAGTTATTGCCAATGGTGATTGTTTTTCATTAAATGATGCTTATGAAATTGTTAAAAAAACTAAAGTTGATGGTGTTATGGCAGTTCGTGGTATTTTAGATAATCCTGCATTATTTGCTGGTTATGAAAAAGCTCCATGGGGCTGTATTGAGAAATTTTGGGAATATTCAACAAGTTATGGATTAACTTATAGATTATTACAACATCATTTATCATGTATGTTAGATGGACGTATACCAAAAGAATTATATAAAGAAATGATGGATATAAAAACATTAGCACAATTAATAGATTTTTTCGATAATAATTTCATATTGAAAAGATCAAATGAAGAAGGATTTGGAACAGGTATTGAAATTCCATTTAAAACTCAAAGAGCATTGCATATATAGGTTTAATTTATTATCCATAAAAGGAAGGGTTAAGGGCAAAACATATTCATATATAAAAGATTTAATGTATTATTAATATAATTATCAAGCAGTAGAGAATACCACGAAGCACAATAATATCACTATTTCTTCGAAATAATCAAGTTAAATAAATCCTATATATTGAAAAGTTATACAGATTCCCGGAATTCAAATTAATTATCACGTGATAGATTCTACCGGAATTCATTTTATGCCCTAATAATTTAAATTCAGTTTTGTTGTTGGTTTCGCTTTATAAAAAAAAATTAAATTTGAAACTTTGTTTAATTTAATCAAAACATGAATGAGAAAATTGTGATCAATAATCAAGTTATTTACCCCAAAGGAAATACTTTTGAAGAAGTGTAAGTTTTCAATCAAATATTACTCACGAAAATTTTAAAACAAAACAATATAAAGATTAAAATATCTAGGGATGAAAGTTTTTTATTTTTTTTAGAACCAATGTGAACAAATGCTATAAATGAATCGTTATGATTTGTTTTTTTGTAATGAAAGGTTCATATGTCATAGTTACACTGATTGATATTTTAATGTTTATTCAATTGTTTTTTAGGGGAAATTGAAGTGTTTTGTATAAGTGATTGGAGGAATTTTAGACTAACAAATTATATTTAGATTTAGAACTTGTTTAATGATCTTTAATGAATGATTTATCAAATTAAAAGTTAATGTAGAAATATTATATCGTCTAATTGGTTCGTATTTAACTGAATTAAGACTTTATGAATGTAATTTATCATACTATATCTCATAATTGATACATTTCAATTAGGTTACAATTCAACTACGTTACTGTACTTTACTACTCATCTACATTTATATTTTCCATTAAAATACAACGTTATTTTTTTACGCAACACAAAACCCGTTTAATTATATGACTATTTTATTGTTTTACATGAATTTAATTAAATTTAAGCTTCATCTTCTTCAACAACAACGGTTTGTAAACCTTTAGCAGAAGCAACGATAACTGGTTCAACATATGAAAATAATTTTTCTTCAGCATCTTCTTCTTCATTACGTTTTCTTGAGATTCTAACACGTAATCTGAATGGAACACCTTTGATACCTCTTTTCCAGATTTCTTGGTTTAATCTTGGGTCTAATCTGACTTCTTTGGTACCTAATTGTTTTTGAGCGAATTTTTTAATTTCTTTGACAGCGGTTGGAGCTCTCTTTTTGAAAGAAACACCGTGTAACTATAAAATTGTTAGTATATGATTCTTAAATAAATGATTATGGTTATATGGATTGATTGTATAATTTGATGTATTTAGTATTACGGACCGTATGGTACTTTATAGATTCTTAAATTCTTGATACATTCCCCAAATGATTCAGTTTAAACGTTCACATTTTGAATTCTTTTGAAACTCGTATCTCTAATTCATTTCCAATCTCTTTTTACTTCATTATAATAATATCTTTAATGTATATCAACCCTTTCAAAAAAAACTTTCATAATCCAAATCATTTAATCCATATAATAACCACACCAAATCACTATTCATGATACGTACTCTTTTGTGTAAGTTAACGGTGTATTCACGGGTGACAACGTCTTTCAAAGCAGATCTGTTACTAGACATATTTGATGATATAACTTGGTTGTTGTTGTTGATCAAGCACTTTCAAAGGTATAGTACTTTAATTCTATATAGAACTTAACTTTTCAACAAAATTTTGTGTGTTTGATGTGGAACTTTGAGTGGTAAGAGACACACCGCGCTTTAATTTTTTGTTTTGTTTTAGCAGTGCTGATAATAATTCGCGAATAGAGAACACAGTTTGTCGCGAATTTGAATTTGAATTGTTTTGTTGACGTTTTTGAAAATGGTAGGTGTTGGCAGGGGCAACATAGGGGTGTGTGGGTGTTGTGTAGTGAGTGAGGTGGTCACAGTCACAACTACAACTATTAGGGCACGGTGCTCAAAGTTATCATGTGACACTACATTAGATTACACGTGACATTATTTATCATTCATTCAAATCCATAAAGTTTATTTGGATTTTTTAACCAAATTTTCAATAATTCAGCGGTTAATTCATCATTATCATTCAAAGAAGATTCAAATAAATCATTGGTTGATGATGATGATAATGATGATCTTAATTGAAGTTCAAAATATGCACATAGAGAACAAAGTATACGACCAGTTATTCTTTGATCTTTAATCAATTCAAATAAATCATCAATGGTTTTAATATTGTTTAAATTTATTGATTCTTTAATTTCTGGATTAGTTTTAGTTCTTTTAGGATCAAGGACAGGATCAACAGTTTGTAGAATATATTCTAATGATTTGATTTTATTTGTAAAACTTTCCATAGTTGATATTTTTTCAAAATAATAATTTGCCAAATCCCAATCACCTTTTATAAATGATATCAGCACTGCTAAAATTGATATCTTATCATTAAATTGGGTTTGTAGTATGCTTGAATCTTGTTGTTGAATTGTATTAATAATTGAATCTGCTTGAGTTAAAAATGTAGAATATTCTCTTTTAGCTATAAGATTTGATGCAATACTATATGATAAAATTTCTAATTTTAATTGTATTTCATCTTGTTCATTAACTTGATCCAAGAATCGCTGTCTTAATTCCCATAGAATTAAATAATATTCTGTTGATAATGTTATATTGGGACCAATTGATTTTAATCTAATAATTAAAATTTTTAATGATAATGGTATATCATCACCAAATATTGAAACATTAGATGGGACTAAATTTTTATTCAAATTTGGTTCTTTTAATCTAACAGCTTTATTTATAGCTATACTTAATCTTTTTGATTCTTGTTGTGATAATTGTAATTCCCCAGATATAACTAATAAAGTTAAACGAATATTCCATAATTTGAAAATCAATTGTAATTGATCTTTGGTTTTGATGGTATCTTGTTGTATGATCAAATCTCTTGCTTGGTTTGCAGTGGATATTAATAACCTATATTCATTTACGGAGTCATGATGTTCTTCAGAATTGAAATTCTTAATGGTTTTAATAATGGTTTGATATTGATTGTTATCTGAAGCATCATCTTGAACTTGATCATCAGGAACAACAACTTGTTCCACTAAAGGAGTTTGTAGGAACAAATTCGAGCTAAGAATCGTATCGTAATGATCAAATGACATGATATTGGTGATCTTGAATGGTATTTATATTGTTCAAATTCTTATCATTATTTGATTTCATTGGGTATTAATTTGACGGGTTTTTTGAAGTGGCCCATTTCGAACTTTTGAATTTCAAAGGTTTTTAAAAAATGAGAGTAAATAAACAAGGAAGTAAACAACAAAGAACTACGAGAAACAACTACAAACAACTATTGGTTATAATCATACAATAATATCAACCATGTCCAATCCACTACGCCCATCGCTTCCCTCGCTATTATCAAATGATTCTCAAAATTCCAATTCAAATCATACACCACCAAATTCAAATGGTCAATCATCATTATCTCAAAAAAGTCCAAATCAAAGTATAAGATTACCACCAATTTCATTCTTATCTGGAATGTCAAGTATGTCAAATCCTCATCAAATGGCTCCACCTTCATCATTAGGAGTTCCAAGATTATTGAATAATTTAGACCAAGGACAACCTCAACAACCTCAACAACCCCAGGGACAACAACCCCAAAGTGGTTCAGGATATTTCCAAACATTAAGTAATACTCAAAGTGTTGATCATACGAAAATATCACCATCAATACCATCAATTTCTCATTTAACTCATCAACAAGTTCCTCAACAACATCAACCATCACATTATGGACAATTACCTTCAATACAATCAACACACCAACAATCACAATCTACAGAAACCATACCAACAATTTCTGCTAAACCTTCATTTTTAAATCAAGTTTTACCATCCTCATCATCAAATTCTAATTCAAATGATATTCAATCACAAGCTGTTAAATTAAAAGAAGAAATTACTAAACCAGATGTTGAAGAAGAATCAGATGAAGATATTATAAAATATTATGAAAAAAAATATGGTATAATGGATTTTACAAATGAAGAAAAACATGATATTTTACAACATGAAAAAAGAGCAAGAATTGAAAAATCTAAAAATCCAAATTATAAAACTTATTTATGTTATTCAATAATTAAAAGATTAAATACTATTCAACCAAAAAAGGTGGATGCTCCACAAGAATTACAACAACAAAACCCACCACCAAAATTCATCAAGAGAGAAATTATTATAAATAATGAAGAAGTTTTAAAAAATTCATTAAAATTTCCAAGAAAATATTTAGGTTCAATATTATATACACCATTCCCAACAAGATCAACATATAAACAATTAAGTTGTTTTAAAAATTTAGAAATTGATCCAACACAAGAAAATGAAATTGTCCCATTATTACCAAATTTAAAAAAATATATAAATTCCATTATAACTATAAGAATTCCATCATATCAAATTAATAATTTACAAAATAATCATAATTATTTAAATAGATCTATATGGGGGTCAGATATATATACAGATGATTCAGATATTTTATTAATTTTAAAACATAATGGATTTTTACCTTCATTAGATAATGATTTTGAAAATTTAATTGAAGTGAACCAGTCAACCGAGAAGAAAACCTCAGGGAATTTAGAAAATAAATCAAATATTGATCAAACAGTTAATAATTTCAGACATTTTGTTAATATTATTGGAGGAGATATTCATGTTGATTTAATTATATTACCAAAATTGAATCATTATAAAGGTCATTATAACAATGGTATTAATTCAAGAGATTGGATCGAGGGGCATGATGGTGTTAGTATTGGTATATTTGGAGTTAAATATGGTGAGATTAATAGTTCAGTAGAGAGTATTAATGATTGTGATTTGAAAAAAAGAAAAATTGAACAAATTGAAGAGATGAGTTTGATTCCATTAGAGATATTGGATAATAATGGGAAATGGAAATTAAATGTTGAAGCTTATAAGAAGGTTAAATTACAATTGGAGTTGGAGAAGAGTCAAAAAGAGAAGAAGGAGAAGACTGAAAGTAAAGAAAGTAAACAATAGATTAATAAATGTATTTATATTTAAATTAAAATGTTGTATAATATAATGTCACCCGCGAACCAGGGCTTCAAACCCCTGATAACCAAAAACCCACTTTATCAACCACAAAAGAATGACAAGAACAAATAAAACAAGTAAATAACAACAAGAGAACTAGTAATAAGAAGAACTGGTACTCTATATATCCATAACCACAACTCATCGTATCCAAAGAATGGGAAAAGGTTATTAAACAAGACTATCGAAAGACATATTATTTTATTTACTATAGGTTATTGGGAAGTCAGTCACAAGTCAGTACGGCTGGTTAAGAATGAGTGAAGGGTTACAAAATCAACAAACAATTCCAAATCAAACAGAGAAAGAAACAGAGAACAAGCATCAATCAGAACAAAACACTTCAAGAAGTTCACCTAATTTAGATTTGAAAAAACAAGGAACTATTCGTTCATTTCGTTCTTCAAGATCCTTAAGAAGTAATTTGAAAAATATACCCAAGGAAAAAGACAATTTCAATACCAATACCACCACCAACAACAAGGATAATAACAACAAGAAAACAGTGTTGAGAACTATTCGTCAGTTGTTTGTCAAGGCTTCTATTAATTTATCAATAGCTGCTACTAAATTAAAGAATTTTGCAGAAGACGCACTTTCATCAGATGAAATTATTAATGAACTGTTTTTAGTCACATCATCATCATCAGTAGATTCATCATTATTAGAAGGACAAGAACAACAACAACAATTAGAAGAAGGACAAGAAGGACAAGAGGGTATTACCATGAGTGAACCATCAAATGAAGTATCAAATTCAGAAACTAATAGTGAAGAAAATCAATTAAATATAATTAATGAATCAAGTTATGAAAATTTTGATTCTGTTTTAGAAGCTAAAAAATTACATAAAGAATTAGGAGAAGATAAACCTTTTATTAATGGTGAAGATATATGGCAAAAAAGAAGAAATGCATGGTTATATTCAAATAATGAATTAAAATCTAAAGCTAAACAACGATCATTAGATAATTCATTGGTTGGGATATCAAAAGATAATTATCCAATAATTTATAATAGTTTAATTGAAAAACAAAAAACTTTGAAAAAACCAATGAATTTAAAAGATGCGCTAAAAGTTATTAATGCTGGTTGGATTGCAAGTAAGAAATGGGAAAGAGCGACTCAAGGGTTGGCCTGAATTTAGCATTTAATTTAGCTAACGCTAAATTAAATTAAACAGGTTGATATGATAAATTAAACAAATCATCAAGTTGATATGATATCTAACAAACTGGCATATTGTCTTTTCATGACATTTTTTTATATTCCATTATTTAGTTCTCTTTAATGAATAACGATTTTAATTAATTATATTTTTTATTCTCATCAATAATCTTGAATGTATTTTCTAATATTCTTAATTCTAAATCTAAATTTTCTGCAAAATTTTGTACTTTATTTAAATTTGTTGAATTTTGCTTTGTTGATTTAATTAATTTTTGATAATTATGTGATGTTTTATCTAGTTTATATAAATGCTTATTTAATGATTGTTGTTGGTTATTGATTATATGTTGTTGATTATGGATTTGGTTTAGTGTTTGAGTTGTTTTGTTTGGAGTGTTTATTAGTGATTGATAGGTGGAATGAACTTGCTCCATTGTGTTGATAGTATTAGTTGATGTTGTTGATATTGGTGATATTAGTTGGTGATGTTTTTGTTTTTCAGGAAATAAGAATGTATGAAAACAATAAAAACATCAACAAAATCAACAAATCTATTAAAAAACAGACAATCAACTAACAATCTACTCAATTACAATTCATTCAATGCAACTAAACATCATAGAATCAATACAACAACAAAGCACAGGTTTCAACTTCAATTCATTACTTCCCTTACAAAATCATGTCTATTTAGCCACTTCAACAGGTTCAATTGTTATATATGATAATCAATTACAACTAATTAAAACAATTGAAAATTTCAACAATGGTGCTATTGATAAGATATTAAGTATACAGGACACTCTGATAACATTGAGTAATGGGATAGTATCAATTTATGACTTAACCACTTTACAATTATTAGAATCATTACCTTTTAAACAAGTATTAAATATATCAAAATATAATGATTTTTTAGGTATATCAACAAAATCATTAATAATAATATATCATTATACTCAGGGACAATTTGAAGTTATTAAACAATTCAAAACAATGGATAAACCATTGGAGTTTGAGTTTATAAACCAAGATTCCATTATTTATGGTTCAAATTCTCAATTTTATTACTATAATAATAATCAATCAATTAAATTACCATTTAAATCGCAATTTTCAATATTTAATCAAATTTCAAATATAATACCATATGATGGTATAGTCATATTGAATAAAGGCTCTCAAATATTGAAGTATAACTACATTGAAAACACCTCCACAACAATTAACTTATCATTCATACCAAATCATATAATTTCAATAAAACCTTTCTTAATATGTTGTACGAAAAATCATATACATATCTTAGATTCAAATCATCTAAGTTTATATCAAACAATTCATATACCAACAATTCAACAAATTTCATATATTAATAATGAAATTATAATCATATCACAAAATAAAATCCATCAATTTAAATTATCTTCATTTGATAAAATTATAAATCAATTAACCAAATTAGATCAATCTAAATCAATTGAATTTATAAATCAATTATCCCCATCACAATACCCTGAAAAATCATTGAAATTAAGATCTTTAGAAATTGAAATTGCTAAAACTCAATTTTATGAACAAAATTATAAATTTGCTATACAAAAATTTATTGATTTTATTGCACCACCAATGATTGTTTTAAACCTTTATCCTTCATATTTGACAGGTATAAAATCAGATAAGGAACAAGAAGAACCACAGATTGACAGCCAAGCTATATCTTATTTAATCAATTATTTATCAGATATAAGAAGAAAATTTAATAAAGTTTTGGGATCACAGGATAATACAATTGAATTCTTAGACTCTAAATTAAATATTGAATCATTCACTCAAGGTACTTATTCAATTAATGAAATTCAATCATCAGTGGATACGGCTCTTTTCAAATGTTATTTAGAATTAAATAGTGGATTAATTGGTTCCTTAGTAAGAATTGATAATTATTGTGATCCAGATTTAGTTATAAATACTTTTAAATCAAAAAACATGATTAATGAATTGATTGATTTTTATAATAAAAAAAGCATGCACAAACAAGCTTTGGAATTGTTATTTGAATTATCTCAAGATTCAAAAGACCCGGGGGCAATTGTTTCTTATATTCAAAAAAATTTAAAAAATGATCACTTAGATTTGATTTTGGAATATTCAGATTGGTGTATATCAATTAGTGAATCATGGGCAATTGAAATTTTTATAAATTCTCTTTATTCAGAAACTTTTAATAAATTTAAAGTTTGGAAATATTTAAATACCAAATCAATAAATTTGGAGAAAATTTATCTTGAATTTATTATTGAAGAATTAGATGAACAATCAAAAATTTTAAATACAAGATTAATTGAAATTTATTTTGAATTATTATCAAATGATACAAAACCTGAATCAATTTATTTTAACAAATTACAAAAATCTTTACAATTTCAAAATTATGATTTTTTGAAAACTTTAGAAATTTTATCAAAATATCAAGAAAATAATTCATTAAATTTATTGAAAACTTTTATATTGAAAAATTTAGGAAATCATAAAGAATCTTTAAACATCCTTGTTAAACAATTAAATTCACCACATGAAGCAATAAATTATGCTCAAAGTTTATTCAATACAGATGACGATGCACAAAAATGGGTATTATTCTTGATAAATTTATTTTGGGATTATAATAAAGATAAATCTTCAATAATGGAATTATTATCCAAATCACAAAATTCAATCCAATTAATTGATATATTAAATACTTTACCAATTGATTTAAAAATTTCTGAAATTGAACAAGTTTTAATTAAAAACTTAAGATTACAAAGAAAATTTTATACAAAATCGTTATTAACCAAAAATTTATCAACTTTAGAAGCTTTAAAAATTGAAGATGAATTATTTCAAAAACAAAGTGGTTCAGTAGAGATTATATTGAATGAAACTAGATGTAAACAATGTAATGCATTTTTAGGGAATAGTGTTTTAAAAAAATTCCCAAATAATGATTTAATACATTTTGGTTGTTTGAAAAATTATGAACAAGAATTGGAATTTAAAATGAGGTCTAGGAAATTGAAAACTATTAAATTAAAAGATTATAAACTTGAAGTTTGAATTCTTATGAGATATATAAACATAATAGACATTTATATCATAGAACTACAATATTTAAATTTTTTCTGTAATGCATTATATTTTCTGTATATACAACTTAAACAGATGTTAATAATCCAATAACACCTGAACAATATTTAACAAGATCATCAAAGTTTTCAGTTTTATTTTGATGAGATTCATACCATTCATTTAAACTTTGTTCGACATTTTCATCTTTAATATTAATCAAAACATCACCATGATTTTTAAATAACATATTCATCCATGCTTCAATTAATTCAATATTTGAATTGGTTTTATAACCTTGAGTTAATGCTTGAATGAAATTTGATACTTCAGTTAATGGAGGTTGAGTATTTAATGATTTAATTTCTAAATCTGTTATAGCTGGTGATGAATTTGTTAAAAATTTTAAAAATTTATCGTAATCTCCAATTAATGAATCTTCACGTAATAATCTTGTAAATTCACTTTCAAAATTTGTATTAATACCAGGTTTTAATGGATTTAATCCACCATCTTCACCATTTGTTTCTTCTGGTTTATTTAAAATTGATGATTTTTGACCTTCTCTAATTGATGCTTCATCTCCAACTTTTTCACCAGTTAATTGTAAGAAAAATGGTGCATTTTCTGGTTTTTTTGGTGCTTCTTTTGGTTTATTTCTATTTTTAATAATATCTAAGTTCAATAATGTATCAAATTTACTTCTTGGTCCTAATGATAATGTAATTAAATTTTCATCAATTTGATCTAAAGTTTCATAATGATTTGTAAAATGTTCTTCATCATCATCTTTTTCATCATCTAATGCACCATCTAAAACTGATGAACCACCTTCACCTGCAGAATTTGGTAAATAAACATTTGTAAATTCATCTTCATCAATATGTCTTGTTGAAATAGGTTTAAATTGGGAACGATTTGTCCATAAACAAACACCTAATTGAGAAACATGAGTTGTTGCTAAAGAATCACCCAATGGTGAAAATTTAATACTTGTTGCAACATTTGGCACAATAATACCATCAATACATCCACCTGTTGGTAAATCCCATGTACGTATGGTTGAATCCAATGCAGCTGATATAATCCAACGACCATCTGGACTAAAATCCATTGAAGTTATTCTATTATTATGACCATAGAAAACACGAATGATTTTTTGTGTAACTGTATCAATGATAACAATTGATAAATCATCTAATGCTAATGCAGCTAAATCTGATGATCTATGATAAACTAATTGAGTAATTGGTGAAGTTAATTTTAATTTACCTAAATATTTTGATTTACTAAGATCATAAAATCCAACAATTCCATCTAAACCAACTGAAATCATTTTTCTATTCATACCATCAATTGCCATTCCTGTAACTGCCTTTTGATGTAATTGATATTTTTTACGAATAATACCACTTTGTAAATTATAAACTCCAATACCACCATTTGATGAACCAACAAGACCAAAATTACCACATTGAGAAATTGCAACACTTTTAGCAATACCACCATCAATTGTATTTAAAATATGTTTACCAACACGTTTATTTTTTGAATCCCATGTACGAGCAAAATTTTCATCTTTATGACAAGTTAAAACATTTTCCCATTCACCTTCTCTTGAATTTTCAATTGCCATATTTGTAATTTCAGGAAATTTTTCTCTTATTACTGAGCCTGCAATTCTTTTACCATCTGAATTTTTATGTAATCTTTGAGATAATTCTTGTGATTGAGCATCTTTACGTAAAGAAAAACTCCAAAATGAACGATCTCTTGAAGCTGATAAAATATAATGAGATTGTGGATCAGCATAAATAACAGATGAAGGTGCAGCAGAATGACCACCTCTTGATCTTAAATGACGTGGTGGTGAAACAATTGCAGAATTTGATGAAGATAATGATGGATCAAAGACAAATTCTTTTAAATAATTATCTGCACCATTTGTAACAACAATTGGTTGACCATTCAAAAATTGAGCTTTAACAACACCACCATATGATTCATTATGAGCATTTCTTAAAACATGGATACGACTATTACGATCTAAATCATAAAAAAACAAATCACCAGTATTTAATGCAGCAACTAAATGAGGTGAACCATCAGTTCTAAATGAAATTGAATTAACTTTAGCTTCACCAGTTTCAATTGTATGTAATATTTTACCCTTTTTTACATTAAACAAGATGACTTGGCCTTTAACATTACCAATTGCAATAAAATCTAATACTGGAGCAGATTCAATTGTTGTTAATTGATCTGGGAAAATTTCTGAAGTATATAAAACTTTAGCAGAATGGATATTTAAAACAATGATATTTGAAGTAGTTATAACAACAATTTTATTTAAATAAGTTGGAGGATGAATTAAATCAATAATTTCACCATTAATTGAGGAAATTGGAATTTTGGTATAAAATTCAGTTGCAACTTTTAATCCATTTGCCTTTTTGAAAACGAAAACATTTTGACTTGATGTAGCAACTAAATATTCACCAAATACAATGATTTTCTTAATCTCTTCATCTTGATCAACTTCTAAAGTATGTTCTAATTTACCTCTTTTATAAATACCAATTTTATTTTCATATGCAGCATAAACATAATGGAAATGTGCAGTTAAGGCATTAATTTTGGAAGAAGTTTGAGTTTGAGATACAAATAATAAATGTAAAGTATTAGCATCATAAATTTGAAATGAACGACCAACACTAGTAACAATATAAAAAGTTGAACCTAAAGTACCAACAGCGAAAGGTGTATCATTAGAAACATTACCAATAACTCTAAATGGTGAAAAGATCTTTGAACCTTTCTTAGAAGCCTTGGAAACTTCGTTGACTTTTCTTCTCTTGACTTGATCTATTGTCATCTTGATTCTTCTTATCCAGAATAGATCTCAATACAAGTTGTATCAATATTTTCAATTAATTAATACCCATATACATACATAAAATAATTTTTTTTAGGTATCACCATTACATAATCTGTGACGTAATCAAAAAAGTCCGATGAGCCAGGGTAACTTTGTTTCCTCGGAAGTGAAACCAAATCACGTTTTGCATCACATGACTGAAAATATACCCTCGTATCTCCAATTTAGCTGATTAAAATTAATTTTGATTCTGTCACAGCGGCTGCAGGACGATCGAAGTCAAGTTGGAATCGATGCTTCAGTTTATTTGTTTATCACCACGTTGATTGATTGATACATTTGGAAAGGAAACATTGACATGACAAAACCCATTGATATCAAGGTCTCTGAGCCTAAGAAGAAGAGCAGTATCTCAACGTCTGGTCCAATATCACCTTTGGCCCTGAGTACAAACAACTCCAGTTCAAGCGTTTACGACGAGAATAAGAAAGCAATGGCTTCAATAGCTCCAATATTAGAAGGATTCACTCCAAAAACTTCATCAAGTGAAAATAATAGTCAAATCCATTTACCTCCTCCAGCAGTCGAAACTAATAATTCAAGTTCTGTTAGTTCAAGAAAAAGTTCACATTCAATATCAAAAGTTCAACTGCCAAAAATTGGTAAAATTGGTGTTTGTGCTATGGATGCTAAAGTTTTAAGTAAACCATGTAGACAAATATTAAACAGACTGATTGAAAATGGTGAATTTGAAACTGTCATTTTTGGTGATAAAGTTATATTAGATGAATCAATTGAAAATTGGCCAACTTGTGATTTCTTGATTAGTTTTTTCTCAACTGGTTTCCCATTAGATAAAGCTATTGCATATGTTAAACTACGTAAACCATACATCATTAATGATTTGGTTATGCAAAAAGCGCTTTGGGATAGAAGATTATGTCTGTGGATTCTTGATGCTGCTAAAGTTCCAACTCCGAAAAGATTGGAAATTTCAAGAGATGGTGGTCCAAGAGTTGATGATGAATTAAAACAAAAATTACAAGATAATGGTGTTTCTATGGAAAAAATTAAAGAACCAGAATGGAAAATGATTGATGAAGATACCATTTGGGTTAATGGTGAAACTTTAACCAAACCATTTGTTGAAAAACCTGTTGATGGTGAAGATCATAATGTTTATATTTATTATGCCAAAAAAGATGGTGGTGGTGGTAGAAAACTTTTCAGAAAAGTTGGTAATAAGTCTTCAGAATTTGATCCTAAATTATCCACTCCAAGAACTTCAGGTTCTTATATTTATGAACAATTTATGGATACTGATAATTTTGAAGATGTTAAAGCTTATACCGTGGGACCAAATTTTTGTCATGCTGAAACAAGAAAATCACCAGTTGTTGATGGTATTGTTAGAAGAAATACTCATGGTAAAGAAATTAGATATATTACACCTTTATCTGATAAAGAAAAAAGTATTGCAAAACATGTTTCTAAAGGATTTGGTCAAACTATTTGTGGATTTGATTTATTAAGAGTTGGTGGTCATAGTTATGTCATTGATGTTAATGGATTTTCATTTGTTAAAGATAATGCCCCATATTATGATAATTGTGCTAAAATTCTTAGAGATATGTTTGCTGAAGCTAAAAAAATTAGAGATGTTAAAAAATTAGCCACTCCATCAGCTGCCACTGAGGAAAAATCACAAAAATGGGTCTTGAAAGGTTTAGTATCTGTTATTCGTCATGCTGATCGTACTCCAAAACAAAAATTCAAATATTCTTTTAAATCTGAAATTTTCATTTCTTTATTAAAAGGTCATAAAGAAGAAGTTATAATTAGAGAAGTTTCAGATTTGAAAATTGTCCTTAGAGCTATTAAAGTTGCTCAAGAACAACAAATTGAAGATTTAAGTAAATTAGAACTTTTAGCTAATGCATTAGAAAAAAAATTAGAATTTCCAGGTACTAAGATTCAATTAAAACCTGTTTTAACTGAAGATGGTGAAGTGGAAAAAGTTCAATTCATTTTAAAATGGGGTGGTGAAGCTACACATTCTGCTCATTATCAAGCTAGTGATTTAGGTGAACAATCAAGACAAGATATGGGTCTACTAAATAAAGAATTATTGAAAAATGTTAAAGTTTTTTCATCATCAGAAAGAAGAGTTTTACTTACTGCTAATCTGTGGGCAAATTCTTTATTAGATGATGGTACATTGGATGATAATTTTATTAATATTAGAAAAGATTTATTAGATGATTCTAATGCTGCTAAAGATCTTATGGATAAAGTTAAAAAGAAGTTAAAACCATTATTAAGAGAAGGTAAAGAAGCACCATCACAATTTACATGGCCACAAAAAATGCCTGAACCATATGTTGTTTTGAAAAGAGTTGTTGAATTAATGAATTATCATAAACAAATTATGGATCATAATTCTACTCATGAAGATTTTGCAAATTTACAACAAGAATGGTGTAATGGTGAAGATCCGGAATTATTTATTGAAAGATGGAATAAATTATTTAAAGAATTTATAACTGTGGAAAAAGTTGATCCTTCAAAAATTTCAGAATTATATGATACAATGAAATTTGATGCTTTACATAATAGAGAATTTTTAGAGAAAATATTCAAACCAGTTTCTGAAGTTGAAAGACCATCTGCTTCATTATTAATTGATGAATATCCACAACATTTAAAACTTTTCGCTAAAGATAAAGGTACACCAAATATTCCATTACATGCACATTCATATTTATTTAATGAACAAATTTTTAAATATTTAAGAGAATTATATAAATTATCTCAAGTTTTATTTGATTTTATTTGTCCCCAAGAATATGGTATTACTCAAAGTGAAAAACTGGAAATTGGTTTATTAACTTCAGTTCCATTAGGTAAAAAAATTATTAATGATTTAAATGAAATGATTGAAAATGATAAACCAGGTTGTGTTACTTATTTTACTAAAGAAAGTCATATGTACACATTATTAAACATTTTATATGAAAGTAATATTCAATTTTATATTAATAGAAATGATTTACCAGAATTAGATTATTTATCACAAATTATTTTTGAATTATATGAAGATAGCTCAGGTAAAAATCATTCTATAAGGTTTAAATTATCACCAGGTTGTCATACACAAGATCCATTAGATGTTGAACTTGATGATAAACATTATATTTCATGTATTCCAAAAATTAGTTTGACAAAACATTTAGATTTTGATTTAGTTTCACAAAGATTAAAATCCAAATTTAAAAAGGTTAATTTACCAAAGAAGTTCACTGCTGTTAATATATCAAGTCCATTGACTGAACCTAAATAGATATACATACACCAATTGAAACTACCAGTTGCTGTTAAAATAATATTATTACAGTATATTTCAATTCATGTAAACCAAATAAAACCATTTTTAAATAATCTAAATAAAAATTTGTAAAAAAAATAATGTATGTATCTATATTAAATATGACGAATTTTTCTTCTTATTAAAACACCTTCAAACTAATCACCTAGTCATTAACTCTAAACTTATAAACTTGCTAATGAATCAAACAAGACAGATATACTTTCACCGTAATGATCACGACGAATACATTCAGCAAAGATTGGAGCAACATCAATAGTAACCAATTTTTCAGTCTTCTTTTTTTCTTCACTTAATGGATAAGTATTTGTAACAACAATTTGATCAATATATGGTGAAGCATTTAATTCTTCTAAACAATCATCAATGAAAATACCATGAGTAGCAACAACATAAACTTTGTTAGCACCACAGTTCAAACGACAATGTTCAGCTGCAGAAATGAAAGAACCTGGTCTATCAATCATATCATCTAAAATGATTGCAGAACGATCTTTAACATTACCAACTAATGTAATTAATTTTTCTTGTGATACTGAAGCTGGTTCATCATCTTCATCAGAATCAGCGGCATCATAAGTACCACCTAAAGCATAAGAAGTTTGATCATTTGGAATGCTACCAGTATCTGAAATTACAGATTCTGGGGCAGAAGATTCTGGAACAAAATCATCATCAACAACATGACCTTGAACAATACGAGCAGTTTGTAAACCGTTTGATAAGATGATGTTTTCTTCTTCTTCATCATCTTCATCATTTTTGTTCAATACTGGTCTTCTTCTTGACATACTTTGTTTTCTTTGTTTTAATTGAGCTTGTGATTTATTTTGTGAATATATGTCAGCATTACGACGACGATCAGTATGAATCATTGCAAAATTTATTTTTAAAGCATCAGCTAAAGCAGTGACCCTTTTAGTACCACCTGGGTTCTTGGAGACAACAACAGCATCTTTATAATCTTCAACATTTTCTCTAATCCATTTAGCTAAACTTGGACCACCATATAAATTATCAACAGGTTTTGAGAAAAACCCTTGCATTTGAGAAGCATGTAAATCCATAGAAATGACATGATCAGCACCAGCCATTATAAGTAAATTAGCCAACATTCTAGCTGTAATAGCACCTCTATGTTTTTTCATTTTAGATTGCTTTGAATATGGGAATTGAGGTAAAACAGCAGTAATTTTTTTTGCAGAACCACCTCTACATGCAGAAACTAAAATTAATAATTCCATAATATGATCATTGACAGTACCTGAACCACTTTGAATGATATAAACATCTTCATCACGAACAGATACACCAATTTGAACTGAAGTTTCACCATTTGAGAATTTCTTCATTGAACATGGAGCAGGTTCAACACCTAATTTAGCACAAACTAATTGACCTAATTCAGGATGTGAATTACCAACGAAAACTTTACACTTTCTCATTTTGAATGGTTCTGTATTTGAATCGATTTTAGAATTATCGATATTATTTGTGGGCAGATTTGCCTTTGATTGTGGAGTTGAAAACAATATGATATATTAGTAGTAATATAATACTTGAGTATCTTTTTTTAAACTGTCAATGATTTGATAACAAAGTTGTAATCAAAGACAAAACAAATCAAGACCCGTAGTTTGTGATTCTATTCCAAATGGATGGATATGACCCTTTCGACCTCGTATTTGGTTGAAGTTGTAAGAAGTAGAATATCAGAAGTCTCCATCATCAACTTCTAATCAGAAGTCAGATAATTTTTTTTTCTAGTATTACGCAGCAGATGAGCCAAAAAGAATTAGCAGGGTAAATGGATCATTTTTTTAATAGCCGGAGCAACGCTGATAAGCCAGAAAAGAGCCTAGGCCCACCGGTGGAGGCGCTGGAGGGAGTGAAATGGGAAGCTGAGAGTAATGAAGAGAGATAGATATGCTAGTGGAAGTTTCTACTGATGGGCCGTGGCTTATGGAGTGAGTCTCATAGGTAAAGTAAACCTGGGGCCGGCGTTGTAGTTTAAAGGTTCTCGAAAAGA